AGGTTTTCTCTCTTTTTAAAAATGTAAAAAAATATCGGTCTTTTTTTGCCTTTTATTGAAATGGTTCAAATGGTTTCTGGTTCTTTTGTCTCCATGGAATGATAAAGTTATATATTCACTTTATCCGTTACTGAGAGGATCTAAATGAATTCAGGATCTTCCCTTTTACAATGAAAACGATACAAGCCCACTTATCCCTTTATTGACATGGTTCCTCCGTCCTTTGGCCCCTAAGTTGTTTTCGAATACTTTATTTCGCTGTAAAATTCTAAGGGTTTCTTTTAAAGGCTCCTGCGTCACAGGAAGTGATTTTTTGTGTGAATAATATGCTATTTTCATAACTGCTGTGAGTTTGCAACAGTTGTTTATGACTGTTAGGTCAAGTTTAGTCTCATATGAAATGATTTTTCTGTGAATAATATGCTATTTTCATAACTGCTGCGAGTTTGCAACAGTTACTTTATGACTGTTAGGTCAAGTTTAGTCTATCTTTAGCCAGTGTCTTCTATGTTTATTCTGAAAATGGTGCAAAATGTCAATATGGAACAAAGCCACAGCTTTGTGAAATTCAAGTGTTTGTGGTCTAATCTCTTAATATTTAAAAACGTACTCCATTACATTGTCTAGGCTCATAAATATTTGCAAAAACTGAGAATAAGGCAGTAATTTTGATAATTTGCATCTTGGTGGAAGAGTAATTCTTCACGGCAAGAAGGTATATATAGTTTAACATAATAGCTTTGTTTTAAGTGTTAAGGCACTTATATTGTGTGTGTGTGTTTTTTTTTGTTGTTTTTTGTTTGGTCAATACCATTTAAATATTGTAAGAAATTTTGTTGTGCTTCTGTTTTTTTCTGTAAAAAAATTAAAAAAGAAATTATATTACTTATAAAGTAAAATTGCTTCAAAATTTTGCTTAATTATGTCACTTTCAAAATATTTAATGCTGTAATAGGAAGCTTAATAAAGTTCGAAATAAATCCAAATTTGAGGTTACAATTACATAATTAATTATCGTTTAGTATTGGTTATGATGTTATTGATATTCAACCGCAATAATTATTATTTCAACAGCGGTCATTTCTATTTCGAAAACATTTTGTCTCTTTCTGTCTGAAATCGAACAAATTATCGCCTGTAATCCCGTGGCTCTAATTTTTACATTCATAGAAAAGAGGCTGTTGCTTAACTCTCTTTTCCGCTCGGCTACATAAAGCTCGAGCATTAATCACGGCATTGGAAAAAGGCACCATGTAACCTAATTAGGCTCTGACCCGATTGCTGAGAAAACTCTACCTCTTTTATATCCCGCTATCATGTAGGTCGCCACCTTCCTTTTAAGTTGCTTTTTCCGCGCCAAAATTTGAACTTTTTAAAATAAAAAAGTTTATTTGGCTTGATTTCACAGCTGTAGCGTTGTAGGGGTTTTGAAAAAAATGTTTTTGCGTTGAAACAGTTTTTTTTCCCCTTCTTTTTAATTGGCTGTTTCGAACGGAATCATAATTAAGGAATAAAATTAATTTTGATTGCTGTAGTTGTATAAAAGTCAGCAGAAAATTGCTAAATATTTTTTTTTCAACTTGTGAGTCAATTTTTCGGTGAATGAAAACAGAAAATATTTTGGAAATTTATTCATTATTTTTGTCCTTCTTTGTTACTCATTAGTTTTTTCAGTTTTTATTTAGATATTTTTTTAAATATAAACTTCGTGCTTCAATGAATTTTTTTCCAATAAACAAATTTTTATTTTATGTTTTAATCCTTTTGTTTTAATCGATTTATTTATATTAAAAAAAGTTAAGCGCGTAAAATGTTTTATTTTAAAACAAAATCAATAATGATATTAATAAAAATAAAGCGTTAAAATACAGTTTCTTTTAAAAATTGATTTATCGCAATCACCGACGAAATATTGTGGCCATTTGCACAGAATCGAACTAGCTACGAAACTGTTAGAGGAAAATTAAGCTACTACGTTTAAGAATTTTATGTAGTTTATAAACTGATATTAAAATGTTAATATAACTAATTATCAACAAAAAATAAAAAAGTGAATACAAAAAATATCCTATGTATGCTATATCTGCACTTAAGAAAAATAAGTAGAGAACATTCTGATTTGAAAATGTTATCGATGCTTTTAGCTATTTAACGTCAAAAGTTGAAATTATTATTTTTGATTTGTGCCCTATTACGAAAACTATTAACTGAAAAATTATAATTTTTTTTTCAGCCACTTATTTTTATTATTCGCTGCGTTTCTCTTAGTCTAAATGGGAATTAGTTTTGAAGTAATAAAATAGTTATTTTTTTATGTTTTTTGATTTAAAGAAATAATAATCGTGGAAAAGGTTTTTCAGTTTTAAAACTGAAAAAACTTGAGAAAAGTTTCAAAAAATTTGTATATTTTGTTTTTTGAAGATAGTATGGTCAAACACTCTGCTTTAATTAAAAGATATGTTTATTTGTTTTTTTTAATTATATTATTTTAATTCTGGGGCTCAATTTATTTAAATAAATATTGAGATTTTTAAAGTTGTCGTATGCTTCTTTCTCACTTTTTGATGATAGTGAACTGACTTTCTGTGTTTGGCAAATTTCCAATTTCTTCTGTAGTGTTCCATTCCGCCGTTTATAATATAAAATAAATAAGTAAATAGAAATCTCAATTATTAATTGCCAATAGTTCGGGCAGGGAATTGAAAAAGTATTTTCGAAACATTTTTGTTGGCTGCCGACTAAAGCTCATTTTACATTAAAACAATCTCTTAATTTCTCATTTCAGTATTCATTCTTGAAGAAAAATATCGCTGGTGTTTATACTGCAAGAGAAAAATCAACGTAAGCGACAAAAAATTCGAGATTGAGATTTGTGTATTTGGCATCTTTGTATAATAGACTATTTGTTTCAAAAATGTTTTTTTTTTTCAAAATTTTGTTTTATCTATTCTTTGAAAATCTATTTTAATGTTCATAGCATTAGCAACAGAAAGAAGAAAAAAATTCTCAAGCCACTTTTCTTGGAATCAATCGTTAAAGCACTTACGTTATTTTTTCAAATGCGCGGCAATATATTTAAATATTTTTTTAAAACAAAGTTAACGAATCAAAACCAGCATGATCCCCCAAAGTATCTTGGGGAAGGGGAAAAATAAAAAAACTAGTGATTATAAAAATATATTATTTTTGATTGTGATAGACTTGATACTTACAATAGTTTCGTTGTCGATAATGATTGTTGTTGATATCTTGAGGTTTGTAGCAAGAACTGGTATTCATTTTTTATTATTGGAACGTATTCTCAAAGAGTGTTTTGCAACCTTTTTTTGGTTGACGACTCACTAAAAATGTCTGGAATCGTAGATCTGCAAATCTCTTTCGTCACTGCGCCTCAAAAATTATAGTTAGCGATTTAATTTTAATAATTTTACTTTTTAAACTGAAAATTTTGAAATGCTGGCGATCCCTGTGTGAAATTATCAGGTCAGTGGCATACCTAAATCCACATATATATAAAAAAAAGTTTTATTATTTAAAAATTAAATATATATATTTGCAAAATTTATTCTATGGTGGTCAAATTCTTGCGCCGCATTTGACAAGACTTCGCAGCACCGACGTTGAAAAGTTTTATTCTAAAATATCGATATTATATCTCGCAGATCTTGCCTCTTATAAGATTTTATTTATTTCAAAAATGCTGTGTTTATTGAGCTTTTTTCTTTCTTCCCTTACTTAACATTTTATTAAGACTCACGTGGGAATAAACACGCATGTGAATCATTCTTGTCAGAATGAACTAAAAGTGCTGAGAGAGTTGCTGCATGCCAGACTTTTCCGAGGAAAATAATTTTTTTTCTCCCTCTCATAAAAGGAGCGGCGGCCAACTAAGTCTCCTTGTTGGGCGTCACTGGAATGACAGGTGTTTACGAACGGCGCAGCCGTCCTCGTCCGTCTGATTTAACCAACACCTGTTTATTCTGCTGAAAAGCGGGATATAAGGGTCTCTCATAAATTCTCTCTTGATTGAGGTTTACCGCTGTGCAATGAGGGACATTGGAAATAATACGGGAAACTACTTTTACAATATGAATAATAACAGTAATAAAGCATTAAGTACAGACATAAAATTGGGCTATTATCTAGTGGCCTCTTTGGTGGTTTAATATTTGCAACTTTACACATTTTATATTAAATGAATCTTTAACTCTTCTCTATTTTAATAATAATATGGGTACATTTTTTATGTATATTAGAGGCAAAAAACAATTTTTTTTCCATACATATAAAGATTTTAATTTAAAACTGTTTTTTTTTTATTTCATCTTCAATTATTTGTAAGCTTGAATTGGTTGGATTACTTAATAATTATTATCTTGAATTATCAAGCTTTGGTATTAGTACATATTAATTTTAAGCTAAAAAATCATATTTAAGAATAAAAAAATCATATTTATAAATCTTTATTTTACGAACGAGTATTTCTTGAAAATGGGCACCCGTAATAAATTTGATTTAACTATTCTGAAATTAATTTATTATTAAGTATATATTATAACTACAATTAAATATTAATGTTTTTTTAATAATATAATTGTATGTTCATTGTTGGAAGCCTTGGCCTGCACTAGTCTGTAGTGCTGTTAAAGAAGAAGAATTGTATGTTCACAGTATGAAATATTTGAACTTAATTGTGATTAAATTCTTAAACTAAATTTTGTCTCGTTTCTTTTCATTGTTAGGAAAGAATTTTTATAATTTTTTTTTTTAGAAGAAAACAAAACTCAAAGTTTAATTCTGCAAAAATAATATATTTTGCTTTTCTGAATGAGTGTCATTATTTACTTTTGTAAATTTTGAGCTAAAGAAGACATCAAAATTTCTCTTTCTTTTTCAAAAATTTTTGCAGTTTTAATGAGAAAAAAAAATGTGATTTTCAATTTTCATACATTATATTTTGTTAGTGATTATTTGTGATTTGACTTTCTTAATTTTATTAGGATTAAGAGGGCATGATTGAGGCAGTGCAGTACATTCATAGAGTGGACAGTAGAGCTTGTGACGCTTCAAAAAAATGGAAATTAGAATTAAATTGGTAAGCATAGTTATGTGCATGTATTTTATCTTTTGATTTCTAAGTATCCTGGCTAAGCAATTTTAGTTAATTCACAGTTTTTTCTATGTTACTGTTTTGCCCCTCGAACAACAGGCTAAAAGGGATTTTAGAGACATAATCATTGAAGTAAACTTTGGAAATGACAACTTTGCTTGTTTGTTTTGTTAAAAATTATTTTTTGTGTACTATTTAATTTTTTTATTAATATTATAAATACATATATACACACACGCACACATTTCAAAATATAAAGAAAACATGGAAAAAATTATAGAAAAATGAAAAGAGAAGAAGAAAATTATTCAAATAAAATAACATAATAAAAAATATATATAATTTCTTCATCAGCTTACATGATTATATCCTCAAAAAAAGAGTCCTTTATATATACAGTGAATTCGCGATAACTCGAATCTGATAGGACTGACGAAAAACTTCGACATATTGGAAGTTCGACTTACCGTTAGTTTTGGTTTTGGACTTTCAAAATATTGTCGGATTATTTAATTAATGCTTATTAATTACAAATCTTCTAAATGCTTACAATATTTAAGATCATTTTTCTGACAAGCCATTTACGATAAAACTGTTTGAAGCACTTTATGATACCCTGGTCCATCGGCTGCAACTGTTGTGTTTGGCGGGAGAAACTACAAGTTTACTGCTTTCAAATTAGGTAGATCACTATGCGCTGTGCATTTATCTATAAAGAGTATCAGTTTTCTTTTCTTAGCGAAGAATTTCCGATCCAATTTTCTTACATATTCTTCAAATAATACTGATGTCATCCAAAACTTTTTTTTAGACTTGTAATCCAAAGGATACGTTTTTACATTCTTGAAACATCGGGGATTTCGGTATTTTCCGATAGCAAGTAAGGGCAATTTCTCTGTCCCAGTCGCATTTCCTCCAACTAGGACAGTCAAACGTTCCTTTCTCATTTTACCCCCTGAGCAGTTTTCATCCTTAAACACCATAGTCTTATTTGGAAGACATTTAAAAAATAAACCCATTTCATCAATATTGAAAACATCATTTTAACTGTATCCTTGAAGTAAATTTGGTAACGTTTCATTTAACCACTGTTCACTTACTTCAAGAGGGACAGCTTTAGCTTCTCCATGAAGAGTGCGAAAGACATTGTGTGTGTGTTGCAAAGGAAGGGACAAGATATCAGCACCTAGGTTTTTTTTTCTTGCTTCCAAAGATCCAAAAAAAATCGAGTTAAAGGGAGTAAAATTCGAGTAATCGAGAATAATTAACATGAAATTGAAGATAAAAGGGTCAGGACCTCATAAAAAAAATCGAGTTATAGTAATATTCGAGTAATCATACTTCGAGTTATAGCGAATTGACTGTATATTGAAAAATGTATGTGAATCTGAAAACTGTTTAACTTATAACTTTTTTTAAGGTTCTTGAAATAAAATATAACCATAAATGACTTTCTTTAATCCCATCCGTTCTTCCATGTGTACAACATTTCTAAAATTAAGGCATAATACAAAAAAAATTACTGATCAACAAAATAATTAAGCATAGAAATAAATTTAAAAGTTAAAATATTTGCAGAAACACTTAAAAAAAATAATTATAGGTTACATATTTTGCAACTGGTCAGGATCAATCAAAGATCATTTTGTGGATTACTTTTGTTCATTATAGTGTAGTATATAGTGCAGCTTTGAGGAGAACTCCACCAGACTGAAAGTCTGGGGCAGTTTGCTGCTTTGGTAACAAGCGAGAGCACATTTCTAATGGGGGTGAAATGGAGGAAAGGTGTCGATTGGTTTACTCATGGCGACCTAAGCTAAGATTAAGACAAAACTATTCACCCCTATTCAAAGTGACCTTTCCTCGTAACCATAGTACTCGCCACGGCACAAGACGGATGTCTGGAGGAGTTCTTTTGAAGGCCGCACTATACATAAGCATCGTCGACGAGGGGACAATGGATATATGTCTTCTCAATAATTAAAAATCTCTAAAAGTCACTCTCATTATTTCAGACAAATAAAGAAAATTTTCTTGAATTATTACCGATTTAAATTCCTTAAAGTTAAAAGCTAGAAAGAGATAAAAATAAATAATACTTTTGCCAGTATTTAGCACGCATGTAGGAATTTTTTTCCCTTACATATGAACCTTAAGAGAACTATTGTGGTTTATTTATTTAATTTCATTCCCCTCAAAAATTGGGTTCCTGTGACACCCAGGGTTGTATAAATAGTCTTTAGAGTGACGAATTCTGATATATTTCCTTTAATTTCATATGTAAAGTTTTAAGTTATATTTTCTGATACAGTGATTCCTTTTACATTTAATTGAAAGACTATCAAGGCTTTAAAAATTTTTGGTTGTGTGACTATATATTGAATTATTAATTGTTTTGCAAGCCATGTTGTACAAGTTATTATTTAAATTTTAGTGGCGTGTTGGATTACGGGCCAGGGCCCCACCAGGTGAGTGATGTTACTTCAACTAGTGCATTTACTGATGGTAACTTAAATGGTGTAAACTATGCCGGTGAGCAAACTTCCAGTAGTAACTGTGTGGTGCCCTATAGTGTTCCTTCAACTAGTAGTAGCCACAATGTTCGGCATGTCAAGATCTCCGGAAGCTCTGAATCCACTGTTGGAAATGTAATTCGATCAAGCACCATCAAATCACAGGACAACTACCAGGTGAATAATTTCATATGCTTGTAATGCTTAATTACTTGCAATTTTTTTTGTCTATATATTTATTTTTAGTTTTATTAGTTATAATATGTTGTTTCAATTAAAATACATATGGATTAATCTTTTATTGCCTGTATTTTTTGTGTCAAATCTGTATTTTTAATTGTTATTTTTTAATAAAATATTTGTTTTGGTACATCTGTTGATGAAAATGATGATGCTCGAGTTTAAATTTTATGCTAGACCTAAACTTTCATCATTAAATAAATTGTTTCTCGAAACATATAAGAGCGTGTTGTTTTATTCATCAACAAGGTAAAATTGAAAAACAAAAATTTGAAAATGCATCGAAGGAATTGTTTGCTGAGAAAGGAATTGTTTTTTTTTTTCCTCTCATAACTTTGAAATAAAATAATGTATTTAAAAAAAAGTATGAGACAACAAATTGTTTTACAGAAACAACTTGCAAGTTAAGCTAAATTTTTTATCAGTCATTTTTTTAGAAAGTATGAAGGAATATTTCTGCTGTGTTTTTACATTAGGAGACAATCTTGTAAGTTACAAATATGATTTATATGTAGGAAAAAAAAGACGCTAAAAGCAACAACACAAAATGTATTTTTAATTGCAGACTGAATAATTCTGCTAATAACTTGTTGAGCTGAGATGGCACTGCGGTTAAGGCTCGGAGCTTTTGAAAGATGAAAGTTCTATTCTCTGTTAGGCTTGAAGCTACCAAGCTTCAGATAGATGAGTATGTGCTAGTCTGGAAAGTTTAGGTGGCAAGTGACAATATTGTAGCAATATTGACAGATTGCTACAACCGTATTGTTGGTCTCGAAAATGTATCCCCTTTTTTAACAATTAAAGGGATTTATTATTTTTTTGTCTTCAAATTACTTTTGCTCAAAATGGAAGAATCTCACTTTTTCAGATCTGGTTCTCAAATGATCTGAAATGAAATTATTTTTCACATTTTATCAATCTTTATAGTTAGTATAATTTAATTGTATTACAGTCTCGCCATGGGCTAAAGAGGAAGGCAGAGGACTATGATGCCTTGCCTGTCATTCTTGTCCAAAGCAGAGACAACCATCTAACAGTGGAAAATCAAAGCCACAACCAGCGGTTGCAAGTTCAGCAACAGCGGGCTGAAGTTCAGATTCAACAACCTGGCCCTTCCACCAAAAGAAATGGAGATCAAGCATGCCACAATAATTCTCAGAGAATTCAATATCATCACAAACAAAGTTCTAAGAACTCTTCTTTTCCAAAAAGCAGCTCTTCTGGCAGTGAGGGGGATTACCATTTGGTTCAGCATGAAGTTTTGTATTCTACTAATCATCAGTATGAAGTTTTGGAATTTCTTGGACGAGGGACATTTGGACAAGTGAGTTCAACCATCAAAATAATGTTCTTTTTCCTCTTTTTGATTGTAATAATATTTTAGATATTTATTATTTGTACATTGATCACCACTGGATTATAAAATCAGCCACTTTTGAAAAATTAAATTTGATTAAAAGGGAATCATTATAATTACTAAAATATGCTAAAAACATCCTTTTATAAAATAACTCTTGCTATTTTTTAAAATCAAACTGTATATGTTAAAAAAAAAAGAAAAATAATGGTTTGAATAATTAAGAATTTTTCCTTTTTTTTTTTAAAGTTTTGAAGGAATATAAATAACAAATTCCATTCTGCTCCCTATGAACAAAAAGAATGAAGTTATAGGAGGGAATTGCACAGAAGAGAGGTTAAAAAATTATCAAACAAGGAGTATGAAATAATCCAGATGAAAACAGTTTTTAATTGAAAAAGTTATACCATGCCTATCATCATTTAATATAAATGATAATAATATAACTCATTCAATAAGGTAATTCTATCCTCAATAAAAGTTGTATTATTTATAATGATAAAAAGTTTTGAAAATTCAATAAACATTCTAATATTTAAAACCCATCAGTAAAAGAAAAAATGTAGTTCATTTTTGTCTAAAATACTAAATATAGATTCAGTGAAAGTTACGTTGGAACATGTTAACTAATTTAGCTTTAAGTGTATTTCTAAAGATTAACTTTGTAAAAATGTTTTTTTCTTAGTGAAAAAAATTCTGTTTTATAAAATCAGCTGACTTATAAAATTAAATGTTCTCAGAGCTAACAAGAATTTAATCAACAGAGGGCACTGTACCATGGTTTGCCTAATCTTTAAATAAATTCCATACCTCTTAACAAAATGTAGCTTGGCTTGTAAAATATCTTGTCAGGTGTACATACTTAGTAATAATGTTTTTTGTGACTTAGGGTATCAAGATATATGTATAAATATTAATTATTATTTAAGTTCTGCAATTGTTGGACACTAAAATGTACTTTGTCTGAATAAATGTACCTATATTGAATGAGTTTGTAATCACATAAAAAAACCAAAAAGAGGAAAATAAATTTTTACAAATTGCAAAAATATTATTTGTAGAGTGAAATATTTGTAAGTTGACAACTTGTGGGCATTGTTAATGGTCATCTTAGATAATTTGTAAACTTATAAGAGGAATGAGTCATTGTTTTTTTTTATATTGTCATTAGTCACCCATGGTTTTCAATATATTAAATCAGATTCTTCCTAAAACACCTAGATTTTTGAAATTGTTTTCTAATGTTTCTACAAGGTTGTTTTGAAATAGAGTTCAAAATTCTGTCGAAAATTTCACATAGCTTTACAAATGTAGCTGGTAAAATAGGCTGTTAGGTTTTTACACACTAAGTTATAATATTTTTTGTAGTTTAGGACACCAAGATATATTTGTGAATATTAATTATTATTAATCAAGTTTAGAAATTTTAGGATACTAAAATGTACTTTACCTGAACAACTGTACCAATTTTGATTAAGTTTGTATTCAACATCAAGAAATAAATTTTTGAGAATTGCAAAAATAGTATTTGTAGAGTGAAACATTTGTATGTTGATTACTTGTGGTGCATTGTTTTAATGGTCATCTCAAACAAGTGGTAATATAAGTGGACAACTTATAAGGGAAATGCGTCATTGTTTTTTTCAATTTTCTTTATCATGTTTAGCATAATGCGGCAGAGTTCACTTATGACTATTTTAAACATATCTAGATTTCTGATATTGTTTTCTAATGTTTATAAAAGGTTGTTTCGGTATTGTGTTCGAAATTTTGTCGAAAATTTAATGTCATTTAACACATAAAATTTATTGAGAAGTTAATATAAATATGCATATGTATATATTGAATATTTCATAACATTTTGTATAATATTTGTTTTCACTTATAATAAATCTAATTTTAATTTATAGGTCGTAAAGTGCTGGAAGAAAGGAACAAATGAAATTGTAGCAATAAAGATATTAAAGAACCACCCTTCCTATGCAAGACAAGGGCAGATCGAAGTCAGCATTCTTCATAAATTGAGTCAAGAAGATGCAGACCAGGTAGAACTCATTAACTTTTTATAAAATTTTAATTGTTTAGAATTTTATTTAAGCTTTTTAAAGGATAGTTTTTTTTTTAAATTTTTTTATAGTTCTCCTTTTAATGTTAGGCAGATTAAAATTAAATAATAGTTAAGAGGAAAAAATTTAATTGTAAATTAAATGTTAAGAAAATAATAACAAAAATAAAATTTTTTTACTATGTGTTTTCTAGTTTTAAATGCGTCAATATTCTTTTAAAATGTTTTTTTCTCTTTCAATTAGTTAACATATATTGTTTTAAATTTATATTAATGCACATCTCTCCAGCATTGTTTCCATCATCATTGTTCAAATGCCGGCATATTTTGTTAATCAATTGATACCGCAAAATACAATACAATGGTTATTGAAATGTATTTAATTGACTGTGAAATGATGAACTACTAATTGTAAAATACTAGTAGAAATAAAATACTAGTTTTATACCAAGCAAACTTGAATCCTAAATATTAAAATAACCTAACACAAAATTATCCCAAAAGCCGAATTCTTTTTTTTCTTCTGTCAGAACTTGCCCTGTCTTCCCGAAATATGTAATATAATGTCATGGCTTAAAATATTTTTAACAAAGTAATTTAAGTCAGGTCAATTATAATACATTGTGTTTTCTTTATTCTCTTTTATAACTTGTTGTTGTTGTAGTCTATTTCAGAGCCAAGATAAACAAAGCTTTCTTCCTTCTCTATTTTAAATTTGTTGATTTCTAAACATGATTGTAAGTAATTGCTATTAAATTACATAAAACAATGTGTGATCTCCTTTTGCATTCAGTTTTTAAATGGTTTCTTTAATTTATAGTTATTTTTATTTTATAATTTACCATTCATATTTAAATCTTTTAAGAGACATGCATGTTTGATGTAATTTTTTTTTAAGGTAGAAATACAATTGGTATAGTAGAAATGCATTGTATCTTCAGGGGTCTGTCCAGGCCGAATTTACTACCGTTCTGCGGTATCTTCACAAATTCTACTTTAGGAAAAAACGGTAGTTTTACAAAATACCTTTTCTTAAAATTTTATTTTTGTATCCCTTAAGAAACGATAAATCCGTATTTTTACCATATTTTTCTGTTGATCTTTAATATAATTTTTAATTTTTCATGAATTATGTCTACATTTTCACAAAATAGGTACCTCTCAGAAAAACCTAGACAGACCCCTGATCTCGTAGTGAAATTAATAATTTTAATTTCTCAGCTTGTTGTATTAATTTATTATTTGTCTTTTTTTTTTTCAGTACAACTTTGTTAGAGCTTTTGAATGTTTCACTCACAAAAGTCATACTTGTTTAGTCTTTGAAATGTTGGAGCAAAATCTTTATGATTTTTTAAAACAAAACAAGTTCAGTCCTCTAGCTCTGAAATGCATCCGTCCGATTTTGCGTCAAGTATTAACTGCTTTGCTGAAACTCAAAGTAAGTGAAATATGCCTGAAAATGAATTTGCTGTTTGAAATGAATCTACTTCATTTAAACAGCTATAAACTATACACTATAAACTTTTGTATGTAATGGATAATGTGTAATATATTGATTATAATGCTTTTCTCGGTTTAATTAAACTATTGTTTCAGAATTGGAATTTTATATAATAGTTTTATACATTTATTTTTTATTCCAGTTTGAAAATATTTTTCTCTCTTGACTTATTCTTATACTTAGCCATTTTAATTTTTTTTTCTTCTTTTTGCACCAAAATAAAGAATCAACTTATTAAAAAATGATGTTTCATTATTTAAAAGAGTTAGTACTCGATGGTACTATCTTATTTAATTGGATTTTTAACCAAGGTTTCTTAAAACTACCAAATAGCAATGCTCAAAGCCAAGAGAGAAATTAATAATTGATTTAATACTGCTCTTTTTTGTAACAATTTTGCAGGTTTGTAATCAAAAATAATTTGTTTTTCCTTACATCATAGGATAGAGTTTCGATTTTTCAGTTATTATAGTTCTGTTACTAAAATTAGTAGAACTGCCTAGTTCTTGATGCTTATTTATTCTTACAGTTTTCATGCTGAAATTTTATTTGTATTTGAAGTTTTTAGAAATTGTACTAGCTAGTATTGTATGAACGATTTCTAAATAAATGAAACTTTGGTTTAAGGAGCTTTAAATTTAAGAAAGTTCAAAACTAGTATAGTATACATTAAGTATAGTATTGAGGGTACATCGTAAATATAAATTAGTGTGGTATAATTATGGGTAGAGGTTTTTCAGATGTTAATTACATATATATTAAATTGGAACTGCTTTAAATATTTGAAAATTCAAAACAGTGTACAAAATGACTCTACTTTTACGGATTCTCTGTAGTTTCAACACATTTTCTCCTGTTACTACAGACTAGAAATTATAACCTATTTTACAGAAAAAGTCAGATTTTGATAGTTTCAGTATTTGTTAAAATCATCAATATGTTTAAATCTCAGTATTTGTTATATATAATCGAAAGTCCAAGTCGATTCTCGATTGTTTTCAGTTCATTGATAAATGGTATTTTAAATTATCAGAATTTTTACTGTGCTATTTCGACATGCAAATTTCTGATTTGAGTATTCGCTTTTGACAGACTGGATTCACTATAATTCCATCTTAAAACAGCATTGTTCCTCTATCGTTTTTTCGCTGCTATTAATTGTTTTTTTTTTCCAGCTATTTCCAGATAATCTTTCAAATTTGATATTTTTGTTACACAATATTGCATTTCGAACTTAAGTAATCACTTTATTCCATGATAAATCAATGTCATTTTTTGACAGTTGTGTGTCTTTTATTTTTGGTACTTATAATAGCTGTATACCATTTTCCAGTAATTGTTACAGTTATTTATCATGTTATTGGCCATTTCCAACCAATTTTTAAACTTTCGATATTTTAAATGTAAAAAAAATGATCAAAGTATGAATAATTAATTTGCTTATTTTTAATTTTTATCACTAATTATGTAACACCTTAAATTTTTCCGAAACAAATTTTGTTATAAAACTACTGAAAATTTTCATAGTTACCATTGAAAACTTTCACCAGAGGTTGGAATCTTAAAGGTAGGTGTACATTAAGAATACAGGGAAAATAGTGAATATAATTAAGCACAGTAAAATTATAGGCTTTTGAGTTGTTAATTATCTATAGATTGGACTATGTCAAGCAAACTTGATGTTTAAAATTCAATTTGTTTTAATTTAGCAACTTGGATTGATACATGCAGATTTAAAACCAGAAAACATAATGCTTGTTGATCCTAAAAACCAACCCTTGCGTGTCAAAGTCATTGATTTTGGTTCTGCCAGTCATGTTTCCAAAGCTGTCTGCTCCACATATCTGCAAAGTCGATACTACAGGTAAATTTTTTATTTTCTTGATAACTTTTTAAAAGATTTTTTCCTGCTTTTCTTTCTAAATTTTAGTTGTTGACTATCTTAAATTTTGTTTGTTTTTATTTATTGTAGCTTTTATGAGTTTTTTTTTTTATTTATTTATTTTTATTTATTATTTTTTTATTTATTTATTTTTAAATCAAAAGTTGAGCTCTTGAGCAAAATTGTACTGAAATTTCCTTTCTTAATACTATTTTCTAATTTAATAACTTTCTACTTAAAACAATATCAGAAATATTTTTTTGATGTCTGCACTTTAAAGTTTGGGAAAAGATTAAATTTAAGGAGAACTAAAGGATAAAATTTACTGTTTTTTATTTAATTTTTTTAAACTTTGTTTTTCATGTGTTTTATTAACTGAAGACCTGGGTAAAAAGTGCAATCCACATTTTTGTATTTTTGAGGTATGCAAACTTTTTTGTCACAGATACTGCAGTGGTGTGTGGTTTTTTTCAAAATTGAAGCAGTATTGTGTTTCTGTGTCTGGCTGAGGAGACTTATACAACTTAAGCTGCACTGCTTTTGATATAAATATTAACAATAAGGAAATGTACTTTTTATAATATGTGGTTTTCATTTATTACCCCCAAGGTCTTTGGTTACTATAAGTAGATATACATAATATACATGAAAGCACAAATACTGTTTGCAGGAAAGTGTCTCCATCACGGAAAACTTTTTAGTATTACGCATTACTATCAACAAGGAAAAAAATAATAAAAAACTTAATACATTATGATATTGTGTACATACATATATCACTCTTTTTCTGAAATGGTAGCATTAACTATGTAATTTGATTATATTATTCAGTGATAAAATATATTGAAATAATTAAATTTTAGTGCTGTTTATTTTTTTTACTATTATATTTTGTAAAATAAGTAGTGCAAGAAAGCAAGATTATTTAAGTGTAAAAGAATTGAAAAGTGATTCATGTAAAAAGCTTAGTCAATATTTCATTAAAATGTCTCTGAGCGAAAAAGTCAAGCATAAAAGAAAGCAAAGTAAATCAACAACTTATTTTATATCTTCATTAAAATGCTAATTTTAAAGAAACATTCTGATATATATAGCATAAATATATCAATATAGTTTTTTTTTTTTAATTAAAATAGTTTTAAAGGTGATTTTCGAACAAATTTTGTCAAAATGAGATGGTGATGAAAAGGTTGAAACCAGTTACAAAAGTCAATAAATTGCTTTTAGAAAGTTTTTTAATTGAGTTTTGTGTTTGCTGAAAGTTCAATCCAAGTTTCAGTAAGTTATCCAAGTCTGAGTATGAAATTATCTGTTATACATTTACAGCCTGTCTGCTTTTCTGACTGAATATGCAGGTGAAAATCTTACTGTCTTTGGGAGCATTGCTGTAACATTTGATCTCCCTTTTAATAAATAACAGCAGCTTTTTTGTGGTAAACTCTTCAATAAACTATATTTAATTTCACCCTTCAGTTTCCAAAGTTCAGTTTCCAAAACCCTTCATTTCACCTTTCAGTTTTTCAAGGATGAATATCAACTATTCTCTTAATTAGCCAGTTTTTTTAGTGGAATGGAATATTATGTGATAGCATGGGAATAACTTTCATGGCGTAACTACCACTACAATTATTAAAACATCAATTCACTAGTATATAAGACATGTTAACTCGATTATTTCTTGGGGTACCTCTTGATAGATGACGATTGACATGGTCGATGACTACTCTCCCCACATTGGGGAGAGAGCGGAAGTGATATAAAAGTAAAGCCCACTTTGATTGATGATCCACATTGAACAGTTTACTATTTGTGACTGCGTCATCACTGCTGCTTCTCAGACTCATTTACACATAACAGAATCCTAAACAGACTGGGCTGCTAATAGAACCGTTGACTCAATACAGCTCTCACGATTAACACCTAAAAACACTGTGACCTTAATTTAGCTCTCACCACAAGCACTCAAAATCCAGTGAACTTAACGCAACTCTCCCAGTCTTTTACAAATAAGGCAACTAGTGGTATCTGTTCATTGAATTCTGGGGGGGNTTTGGGGGGGGGGGGGTATTGTGTCGTAACTATCACTATAATTATTAAAACATCAATTCACTAGTATATAAGACACGCTAACACAATTCAATCTTGAGGTACTTCATGATAGATAAAGGCTGGAATGGTCTTAAACTTCTTTCTCCACAATTTTCTAGGTTAGATGTAGTACAATTTTTTCTATAGTGGTTTGAACAACAGTTGGGGTAAATGTTCTTTCTCTCAATAATTGCCTCAGTTTTGTATCTTTACATTCTTTCATGTTACAGAAAAAAGCAATTATTGTTATTATTTTTAAATTGTAATTTAATTTTGTTGCAGAGCTCCTGAAATAATATTAGGTCTTCCATTTTGTGAAGCAATTGATATGTGGTCTTTAGGCTGTGTCATTGCTGAACTGTTTCTTGGCTGGCCTCTTTATCCTGGATCATCAGAATATGATCAGGTAGCTAGAATTTTTTTTTTCATTTCTGTAATCTAATTATGAAATATGTTTTTAAGCAAAAGTAAATGTTGTAGTAAACGTTGCAAGATCTTCTAATTTTTAAAAAAAATACTTTATGTGTTTAGGCATGTTTTGCTCAATAATTGATAGAATAATGAATAACATAGTCATTGGTATTTAGTTAAGTTGCAGAAATGGATACATATTACAATTTCTTCATTTTTTACTCATCTTTATTATGACATTTGTGTCTTATTTTTAACCCTGTGCAAAAAGTTGATTCCAAGTAAATTAAATGCAAAAGTAAAGTAATATTTTGCCATTTTATAGTAGAAATTAATTTGTAAACACCAATTGTGTTTGTCATTTAACTTGTGAAGAGTTTATTTTGTCGCTCTATTTATGATCCTGTATAAGAAAATTAGAGCAATTATTTCTTGCTGTCCTGATTTTCTTTCCAGTTTTTTTTTCTTCTTTTTTTTTTAAATTGCAATGATATTTTATAAAAAAAAGTTTTTGTAGATTTTTTTTCATTTATATCACATGTACAACATGTTAACCATCCCTGACTTAGACAATGTACTCGGGAGAAAATGCTTATCAAATTATTTCACTTCTATATTTCTGTTATATATTTTTATTTATAAATTTATATTTCCTTTTAGATTCGTTATATCAGTCAGACTCAGGGATTACCAACTGAAAATATGTTAAATTCTGCAACTAAAACCAATAGGTTTTTCTATAGAGAGGCTGGTAACAACTATCCATTCTGGAGATTAAAGGTATCTTTTTTTTTAACTTTATTAAGTGTTTTTATTTACTTCTTTTACGTTAAGTTAAAAATGTGGATTTGATGTTGATGTGCTTTAGAAAAATTTTGTATTAAGTATTTTTTGAAATTTAAAGTTTTTTAATTTTATAGTAAAGTAAAAAATATACAATAAATACTTCATTAGTTGTAAGTAAGGAAGAATAAAATTTTTAACTTGTCAACACTTATTTTGACCAAACCAAACAATTTAACTGGATAACTAGTTAAGTTTTTTCAAACTAATAACTAATATCTAGTGCATAACCATCTTCATAAAATTTGATTTTATTACTGAACAGTTTTGAAGTATCAAATATTCTGCATTTAAACACATGTAAAATGAATGAGTACACGGTTTTTAAAATGCGAATATTTTTGCTGATTTAAGACAAGTATGCGGTTTTATCTTTTAACATGGTGCTTTTGTTTGTATTCTCTGTAAGACAAAACTATCTTTTCTTTCTTTTTTCTTTCCCCCCCCCCATTTTTTGATACTTCACTGCATATGAAATAAGATTGTATGTTTTGGATAAATTCAAAGACATTTCGTAACACATGTTAAAATTTGGGGAAATTTTCTATCATCAAAGAATTCGAAAAGTTTTGAGAACAAACAGCAATGCACTTTCAGAACTGTCCTCAAGATTTGAGGACATCTGGCCACCTTAACCAAGACAATAGATAAAAGAGCTCTTAGCTGTCAAAAGTTGGCTGAAAGTGGTTAAATAGGAGTTAAAATTGTTGAAAATGATTATAAGTAGTCTTAATTTTAATGTTCAGAATTTTTTTACTGAAGTAATTTGGTAATTAAACTAAGAGTATTTTTATTTTATTTCAAGCAGAATCTTCGCCACATCCTAAATTATCTTTTTCTGAAAGTGTGAAATATATTGTTGAAAGAAGATTAAAGGCATAGATATAATATTTGGAAACATTTGTTATGTCAGTTCTTCGTTAATCGAAAATTATTCACTAATTTGTATTCATCTAAAATAAATTACAAATTTGTCTAAGTTTTGAGACAACAGCAAAACTTGTTATTGTAACTATTTCTTAGTTTCAACACAAATTACATAAGAGATAGTGTAAAAAAATAGTTCAAACAAAAACTTCATCCTGGTATTGTATTATTTTTGTATCACATTTTGACAGGTGTTAAGTTAGTTTTGTTTTAACATGTGAAGTTATTCACTAAGTATCAAATAAATTGAATAATATGAGAATTTCAGGGATTAAAACTGGTTAAAATCATAACAATCCTGGTAGGAAGAGATTTTATTTAAAAAAAAAATTTTTTTTTCAGTCTCTTTATATGGCTTAGCATTTATATGAAGTGTAATTTAATCTTTAAAATAAATATTAAAATATCTGTACTACATTTTAAAATAAATTTGGATTCTATTGAAAAGTTTTATAACCTGTCTATTTGATATCTTTGTTTTTTTTTTTTTACTTATGAATGATTTTTTTTACATAATTTATTTTTACTATATTACCTTAGAAGTTAATTATTGAAATATTTTACAAAATTTTTTCTTTCTTTCCAAGTATTAGTTATTTTTGCATTATTATGTGATGCAGTGCAATTATGCATTTTCTATAATTGTTTCTCTTAATTAAATTAGCATTGCCGTATGTTAAATTATTTAAATATGTGCCGTATATTAAATTATTTAAACTGTTATAGAACTCTACTTATTATTAAAAGCAAAGAAGAAAAAAAGATTGCTATAGTTAAATTGTAAGACTTAGGTAGTGTATTTTATTTAAAGTGCTAAAGTAATCCGGGGTTAAATTGAAATCATGTTTAGTGAATAAATTGTTTAGGGCTACATTAATAGTTTAAAAAACACAAACTTACTATCAGACACTTTCCAAAAAGTAGTCTTACGACGTATAGTGCCAGGTGAAGTTTATTAAGAACTTTGCTCGGCTTAAAGATTTATATAAGAATATATGTTTGATAGTTTGTTTTTTAACTAAATTGAAATTAGTACTTTTCAGAGTCACTTATATTTCACAGAAAAACGAATCCTTTAAATGTATTGCGAAATATAATGAATTAGAAATATTTAAATCAGCTTAATGAAGCGCAGAGTTTGTTAGGTATTATATTATGCTATCTAAAATTCTTATTTACGTCTAATTTGTATATTTATGTTGTAGAGGTTTGAAACAGGTACCAGTAGTTTGATTGGTAAAAGTTGGTCAAAAATTAGTTGCTGTAACTCACGTAATATGTTTTCCGTTATTGATTGCAATCTGATTGTTTATCGATGTATTTAACCACAATTTATGGTCTGGAAAAAAAGGAACCATATTATTTTATGCCCTTATTCGTCAAATTTTAAAACAATGAAAAAAGTCCTTTTTTTTTGTAGGAGTTAAGAAATTTTATGTTTGAATTTTTTCCCACATGCTATATTGACTACTGTATTTTTTCCAACTTCAATAACATTTTTGGTCTTCAATGCTTATTTTTTAAAAATATTTTTACCCTTTTATCCCTCTTATCATTATGTTTCTATCTCTTATTTCTTTCATTAAGGGCTTGTTGTTGTAATGGTAGTACTAGTAGTAGTATTGATAAAATCTGATATTATGTTAAGTGTCACAGGAAGGTTAAGAAAATAATTCATATGAATTTATTATTCATTTATTATTCTATATTATCACAATAACTGATGTAATGTTTTATTTAGACATTTTTCAAATATATAACCATAAAATGTAACTTTATCATTTAATGAAAAATATTGTAATTTTTCTACCAAAATAATTTTAATGCTGATCTCATAAAAATGAATACCAGAAATTACATGATAAAAAAAAAAAATTCTGAGACATTAGCGTCACATTTCAGACTGTGATAATTGACTTAATATCATTAGAAAAGGCACATTCTATTTAAAGATAAATGTCTAAATTTCAGGAAAAAGAATACACAGCAATTTTGTATCAAACATTGTAAATTTTAGTTAATCATATTGCCTTTAAATGACACCCTATTTTAAAAACAAAAGGAGAAAAGAAGCATAGTTAACCACATCATTTCTACATTTCAAGTTTTTTCTTTATGTGACATTTTAATTAATTATAGTTATATTAGTTAAATAATTAAAAGCATTCCCTTTTTTAGAACTTTTTAAAATAGATTATTATGGTTGTTATTTCAGGAATCTACTGTTGTATTTTAATGGAAATAAGTTTCATAGAGTTAATTTTATAATAAGCTAGTGTAAAATGAAATTTTTGCAAGAATGTTGGTAAATAAATAATTGGAAATATGAAGAGACTTTATGTAAAAATGGAACTATATTATAATTTTTAGCCAAATAAAAAGTAGATATAGATTGATGGATATAATAAGATAAATAAGTTTTTATTGTGACTGTATACGTCGAATGTTTTTTTTTTAATGGACAGGAATATATCTTCTAAGAGCATTTATTTAATGCCAAATAAATTTTGTAGAACTATACTTTGTGAATTTTCATTGATAGCTAAGTCTAGTTCAGCAGTTCCTAAATGGTGTTCCTTGGAACCCTAGGGTTCCTTGGAACCATAGGGTGATCCAGTGTCCATTACAAGGAACCCTAGGGTTCCTTGTAATGGACACTGGGATTTTGAGACCTAAGCTTATTTGCAACATGAGAAAATCTATCATGAAAACACATCAGGAAAATTATTCTTTTAAGTAACAGAATTATATTAAATTATGCATGGCAGAACTAGTAGGCTGTATACTCAAAGAAGTTGCAAAGAGCGTGAAGAAATTGTGTGTGTTGTCTTTTTAAATTGTTTAAACAACTAAATTCTAGATGCATGATTCATGTTAATCTTTTAAACTATACTGCACAATGATGGCTTGTAAAATTGGCTTTTTTAGTCCATGTATTCAGTAATCATAAGTGGGGGTTCCTTTAAAAAGGAGGTTGATTATTTACGGTTTCATAGTCGAAAAAAATTGAGAACCGTTGGTCTAGTTAATGTTAGTTTAAATAATATTATGTGATTTGATATATTTCATGACTGATTTTTATTTTATTAAACAGATATAAATGTAAATATTTTGTATGTAACTTAATACCAATTGTGTATAAAACATAATTTGTGTTAGTCAAAAATTGTTTAATTCCAAAACCTTTACTTAAAAATCAGTTTAGTTCAGTTAATATAGTCAACTTTTAACTAATATAAAGTTGTAGTGTTTAATATTTTTATATTTCTGTTATTTATTGTGCTTTGTGTTTTTTTATTAGACACCAGAGGAACATGAAGCAGAAACTAATATCAAATCTAAAGAAGCTAGAAAGTATATATTTAATTGCTTAGATGACATGGCTCAGGTTAGTGTTTAATTTCTTTTTCTATTAGTGTAATGTTTTTCATCTGTACATAGTGGTCTAATTCTAATGTGTAAATATTATTCAAACTATAGGTTAATGTGCCAAATGACCTGGAAGGACGAGAACTGGCTGCTGAGAAAATTGATCGCAGGGAATTTATTGATTTGTTAAAGCGAATGTTGACTTTAGATCAAGAAAGACGTATTACTCCATCAGAAGCATTGAATCATATGTTTACTACTATGAGTCATCTCTTAGATTACGAACATACAAATGTGTAAGTTTATATTAATGGAATTACTAATTGTGTAGGATTTCAGTTCGATGCTTATTTTTATCTTGAAAAGTCTTATAAACCTGCAATAGCTGTTTTGAGAACATATGCAAACTTTTATTAATTTATTTTGAGTTTAATTTCCCGTTATTACTAAAATAATGCTATTAAAACCCGTTTAAAATGTATTTTGACTTATAACTTAACATTTTGCTATAGAAGGAGCTATTTATTAATATAAGTTAGTATGTTTAAGAGGTCTCTACTATTGCCATTTTGGATTGTAAGTTCAATTTTTAATTTGAGTTATCTTGATATTTTTTTTTCGTAATTAACGAGCTTTTGATTATATGGCATTTTGATGGTTAGGCAGTGCATTACCTTAAAAAAAGGTAAAAAAAATAAAGGGGTAGCTTTATTAAATTAGGAGAAATAGCGTTTTGTAATTTTTAGAACTTCTAATAATTTTTCCTCGAAACTTTAAATTCATGCAATTTTTGGTTTTGAGTAAGTAATTAAAAATGAAACATTTCTCAGTTTTTAGATTTCATAAAATCTAATTTTATTACTTGTTTAACTCATGAAAAGTTTTTTTGGATGATGCAAAAAAATTATTTTAACGAAAAAACAAAGATGCTTATCAAAAGTTTAATAATTGGTAACTGCACACTAGTTAACTACCTATCAAAAGCTGTTGATTGCAGTGCTATAATTTTATCTCAAAAAATTAATAAATAATCTCAAATATGGAATGCTTTATACCCCAAATTGTGATTGAGTGGCGACCTTGTATTTTACATGTATCAAAAGATACTGCCAAATAAAGTAAATACACATTATCAGCTTATTTATGAAAATTAAATTAAAAGGATTAAAAACATATTTATAATAAAGTAAATACACATTATCAGTTTATTTATGAAAATTAAATTAAAAGGATTAAAAACATACTTATAATTTTTTCTCCCCGTCTTCACCCATTCGACAGCTGAGTTCGGTCTGGTAAAGGATGTATATTTCACCAGAAACTGGTGGCAATTCTGGTATTGAAGATGCACTGTGTTCTAGTGGGCCAATTGAAGCTGATGCAGACACAATAAAGGCATTAATTGGCGCAAACCAATGAATATTGCTGAGACATTGAATTTATCGAATTTGACTGTTCAAGATCAGTTGAAATGACTAGAGTTTAGTCTCAAAGCTTCACATATGGGTTTCTGTTGTCCCGATGATGTCTTGCTTCTCAAACGTCAAGAAAATTATCCATTTTTGAAACAAATCATCACTGGGGACAAGAAATAATTTGTCTACAACAATGTTCTGGTCTCTACAAAATCATTTAGATGGCAAAACTTTTACTTCATATAAGGAGGTTAAAAATCACTTGAATCAGTTTTTTGTCTGCCAAGAACAAAAATTTTATGCTTTGAAATTGTGCTACTGCCAGAAGGACGGCAATAGGTATTGGAACAGGAAAACAATATTTGATTCAATAAAATATTTATTCACAAAAGAAAATCGCTTTTGATTTTCACAAAAAGAAAGAAAGAAAAAAGAACTTACCGAAAATCCAATAAATCCACTAAAATTTCATATTGCATTTAGCTTTACCTACACACTTTATTTACAAATTATAATTCTTCTTAATTACTTAAGTCTTGAAATTTGTAAAAAAACTTTTAAGAATTATACTATTTATTACTTTTATCTGTTATTTTTATTAAAATAATAATACCTATTACTTGAAATATTTATTTCCTAACGAATTGATTCAAATCTAGTTATCTATTAATCTAGTTATCTAGTCTATTCTAGTTATTAATAAAAATATTGATCTTTTTTCAGCTGGAAAGAGTCAGTGAGATTACTTCATATTGGCACTGCAAATAAACGCAGTCGTGATACGGGTACTAGCCAACTTCCTATTGTGACTGGATTTGCATCACCTAGTAATGTGGCCCTTTTACAAAGCCAGGTATGTGTATTTTCTTTTATATTTACTGAATTATAAAGTTATATTTTAATTGGGATAATCTTTTCAAACATTTTATATTTCAAATTGTAATTGCTAGGGTAATATAAGGTAGCAATATAATATAAGGGGTAGTATAGTAGGGTAATATAATATAAGGTTCCTAAGGTAATATAGGGTAACTTAATTTAAATCCATTATAAATCGCTAATTTTTTGAATTTAATTTTTACCACCATAAACTCTTAATGCAACAATATTAATGACATCTAATTTTTTCACAACCTTTTGTATCCCAGTGAATTTTAATTTAATCTAATGTTGATCTCCTCTTAAAATAACAGCCTCAACTCGTATAACATTTTCAAAAGAACTTTTTTCATATCAACATCTCTGTTTAAATTCTCAGAAGCTAATAATAATTTTCTTATTTTGTAATCTTCTTTTACCTTTCTTTGTAATAGAGGAAAAGTAAAATGCATTGTACAAAAGTACAATTAGTCGCCTGAACCTGTAATCTTTTTTTCTTCTTTCCTTTTCAACTTTTCAGGAATTATGAATTAAATACAATAGAACCTGTAAAAGTTGACTCCAAATCTCAACTGGTTGTGAGATTAACAGATGGTCAATGTATTGAGAGATGACGCAACAGTTAATTAACTTACAAAATAATAAAAATTGCTTAGATAATGAAGCTACTGAGACAATCAACTTAGTGTGTATCTCTCTCTCTCTCTATATATATATATACATATATATATATATATAGAGAGAGAATTATTTTTGTTTAAAGCTAACACATCAAAATGTAGACGATCATTTTACATATTGTGTTTATTCCATTTAAGTTGACTTAGAATCTTATTGTTTTACATTGCATATGTTATTATATATAATATATAATCATGTGATACTGTATCATATATGTGTGAAAGTGCAATATATTTATAATTTGACCAGCAGAGAATAAGTATTGCTCAACATCAAGGGTCTACTAGAGGGAATGGAGCCCCCAGTGTCAACAACAGTATCTATCCACCTTCACAGTCTCGTGCCACAGATTCTTTTCAACATGTTGCACCCTCTCTCTGTGTTTCTTCTATATTGTGTCCCCCATATCAGAGTAAGTAAATACACCCACTAAAAGAATAAAGAAGTGATGAAATATACATATTATAGCCACGTAAAGTTATAGAACTTTTAGTATATGCTACATAAGAGCTTAATAATTATTTAAAAAAATAGATTTTTGCTTGTCAAGTGCATTATATCAGAACTTTATTAGTAGGCATGAGATGATAAATAGATATGAATCTTTTTTAATTTTCCATGTAGTTAGTATTACTGCCATACCTTACTATTATGGTAAAATGGTGGCAGATAACCTTTTTTAAAAATAAATAAATAAAATAAAAATTTCTGAAAAAAAAGGAAATCAAAAGAATCAGTGGAACTGGATTTTTAATATTCTATTTCAAATGAAAATTTTAGTCTCGCAAAATCTTAACTAATTTCATTATTAATTAGTAAATCTTATATCTCTTCTCAGTAAACTTTGAAATGTTAGCTTCATTAGATAATCCCGCCTTAACTAAATTTCCTTATTATTAGTTAAATGTTATCCTTTTAAATAAGTCAAATGAATTGTTTTATTTTTTGAATTTTTTTTGTCTGCATTGTTTTTATAATTTGTAGTGCCCATTTTAATTCAAAATTTTAAACATCAAAATTTGCTTTATAGTATACAGTTATACAAAATTTTACATTTACAGTATATTATTATATATTATATATTATTATATTTTTTAAAGTTCACATCACATGTTTCATTAATTATGTAGAATTGTTTAATTGTGCAAACCTTTGCTCCTCTAGTTATTTTTTTTAAATAATTTTTTGTATAAGTATTTTTGTATAATTATTATTTTTAATTAATTAATATTTTTTTATGTAATTATACAATTTTATTTTGTCTTTTTTAAACATTCTGTTAAATATATTTATTTATGACTAATTAGGGACAGTTGTATTTTATTCTTACTATTTAATTTTTTTAATCAAACACTTAATTTTAGTAACATCTTAAATGGGCAAAATGATAATAATATTTTAGCTATCACAATGCCCTTAGAAAGCTGATTTTTAAAATTGAAGTGTCAGCATTTAATAATCAATGTAATTTATTTTGTACTTTTTCAAATGTGTTATTGTTAAATAAATTTAACTGTCTTTTTTTTAACAGCTTTAAATTCTCCTGCTAAGCATGTAGTTCCAGTTGTTGCTGCACAAGCTGCACAACCTCCTGCACTTCAGCTTCAGCAGTCATTATTAACTCAGGTACGTTTTGAGATTCTCCAAATTATTCATTGTTATAGAATTGGTCTGAGTGCATATGTTTTGATTTATACTTTATGTTCATAAAATTCATTAGAAATTTAATTTTAAGGTTGGAGCTCATCAAATTGTGCCTGTATCAGTTGTTGAGCAAAATGGACGCCCCATGCTTTTCACGGTATGTATCATTTTTATCTTTCATTGAAATTAATGTGCAAACCCCTTCTTAATAGAATTCATTTTAAATTTTATTTGATATTTTTTTATTTCTTTTGTCCATTTGATCATGTAAATATTGTGTTGTAATATTGCATATTCAAATAGAATGCTGTTCAACCCGATTGGACTGGCAATCGTCAAATGTTTGTTAATTCATGGCAACAAATTCCTGCAACAAGAACATTCCAGCAACCTGTAATTCCTGAACCCGAGACATGGGGACGACAACTGGTACTTGAAAGAACAGCATTGCTACCTGAACAACCTTCACTTATTCCAGTTGTAAGTTCTTCAATTTATTAAATAACATATCCTTTTACACTTTTAAATAGAGAGTTATGTACGGTGTTTATGTATAGTATTCTTATGTAATTTTTTCAACCCATTGTTTATGCCCTTGACTTTGAAAATTTTATTTTCTTCTAATATGCTTACTTCAGTCTACTTTGTATGTATGTATGTATGTATGTATGTGTGTGTGTATGTGTATGTATGTATGTATGTATGTATGTATGTATGTATATATATGTATATATATATATATGTATATATATATATATGTATGTATATATATATATATATGTATATATATATATGAATATATATATATTTATGTATATNTGGTTCCACCGTTATTACATATATATATATATATATATATTCTTCATAAAGCATAAAGTTTTTGTGAAGAAAGTACAGTCTAGAAGATTAATTTTAAAAAGATAATATTAAAAAAGGAAAGATATTCTATTAAAAGTGCTTTAATTGTTTTTCATAGAAAAATATTTACATTTCTGTAAATTAAACATACATCTAGTTATATAAAAAAAATTGTAACATACTTTTAACACTGAAAATAATTTTTCAAAGATTTCTTTGTTTCGATTATTCTTTTGAAATTAGAAAGAGCCCTCATAGCCAACATTTCCTGGGATTCACAAATAGTTTGTCAGAGTTCTACAGCTTTTTCTACTTCTTTTGCACTTACTTTTGGTTCATCAATATGATCTTCAGCTTCTTCATCTGATATTCCTTTGGCACTATCTATGATTTCCGGATCTGTCAATGTTTCGCATGTTACCAGGCAATTGTCCACTTGTAAAAAAGTGTTCAAAATTAATGTCAACATTGAATCCAGATTTTATTACATTTCATTGTAACAAATCTGGCGCAGTATTTCCAGCTTCTACAGTTTCTTCTTCTTTACAGATGCCTTTAACCTCTTGTTCATCAACTTCACAGGTATTCTTAAAACCAGCCTTTTTAAAACTATTTCTGATAGTTTTTAGAGACACATTTCTCCAGACATAACAGTCATTCTGATAACGTCCAACACATTTATTTTTCAAAGAGAACATTTTTCATTGATGGCATCTACAAGTTTGCGTACCAACTGTTTTCCATAGTTCACTTTAAAACTCCTTATTATTCTTTGATCCATTGGTTGCAATTTTTGAGGTGAAAAGGAATTTCTATTTCTAGCTTTCTTATCTATGTTGAAAAGCTAACGCAAGCTGTAAAAGGTGGTCACCCTGTCTTACTCATCAACCCCTCACTTAGTGCCAGAATCATTGTACTTCTTTCAAGTTAAGGAAGTGCAAGGATAGTGATCGAAATTCCCCGACACTTTTATTTCCCCTTTTTAAATATGTAATATTGTTGAATGATACTATATCATCAAAAGTTCGTTTCAACAACAGTTTTCAAGAAAAGAGACTGTAAATTCTTGTATGCTTAATTTCTATTGACAGTAAAAAAGAAATATGTGTCAAAAGATATAATTTCGTATGTTTAGCTGAACATAAGCTTTTACAGGATGAAAAAAATTTAATTTAAAGGGTTATTTCTGGTTGAGGAATTTAATTGCTGCTTAATATATTTAATTTTTATTTATTTTATATTAGGAGGTGCATGAAACTGCTGTTTACAACCACCTAAGAGATAATGGTCAGCTGAATTCGTTGTTACCACAACAAGGAGCAGGCCCTCCTACCAATTTAACTCAACCTTGGACATTGATGTCAGCTCCTGCTCAGTTTGCAGCGGCAGCTACAAGCCAGCAACATCGGCATGTGCAACAGTCTATGTCCTCTCATAGACTGTTAAATAAGAGTTCTACTTCTAGTCTAAGTTTACAGTCGTCATCATCCAAAAAACAAGTGAAAGTCAGGTATGTATTATTTGATTTTTACAACTTCTCTTGGTTCAATTTGATTTTTTTTAAATTAATGGCAAAAAATATCCCACTTGCATTTTTTTAATTAAAATAATTTAAGTTTGGAATTAAATATAAGTTTAAATGTTTTTAATTAAATTTTTATTTTGCTTTATCAAGATATTAATTAAAAAATATTACTTAGTCAGGGAATTGATTAGCCAGAACTGAATATAGTACCTAATGTTATATATAACAGATGTTCGAAGTTTGTACCATCAGAAACATACCACCCTGATACTATGAAACATTGATTGCCTGGCTCAATGTCACACTGAAAGGTTTTTGTTTCATGACAGCAGCAACACAGATGAAATTTGCCATGAAATCCATTGCAGAATTCATTGGCTTCTTGTGATATATGATAGCTTAGAGAACTTTCATAGAGATAAACTCTCCATGAATCAGATGAAAGTAGATCTGATAAACAGCAACTGTGCAGCACTGCCTGAATATTATTAAATGTAAAGTAATATTACAGTTGTGGGACATAGTGCACCACCCAACAATGTTCAATTATGGTTTCAGTCATGGATTGTTACACGTTTTTTTACATCTTATGATAGATCTTACCTCTCCTAAATTTTTTTGCAACACTTTTAAAACATATAATAACCTATGTAACATTTTGCCTTTTGTAATAATTGATATTTAATAATTTTCTTTCTTTTCTTGTTAAATTAGTAAAGAGAGAGAGATTTCCCATCACTTATCTCCTGCTAGGAAACGGATGAAAGAGAGTAATAGCCCAAAATGGGAGCATTCTAGTTTGAACACTTCATCAAATATGTTTATGGCTTCTAGTAATCAGTCAAAAACATTACCTAATCAAACTATACATTGGACATCCCATAACTCTAAACCTACATTTAAAGCTAGGTAAGTAGTTATTTTAAACTGTTTTTTGTAAATCCTGTTTGGAAAATCCGTGTAAGAAAAAAATCAAAAATATTAATTGTATAAAAGTAAAATGTATGAATGTTACTAAAAAGTTTACTAAATCTTAATAATTATTTTTGTAAATTAGTGTTTTTTTTATATACATTTGAGTAATAAACATTAAAAATATAAATGAATCGTATCACTTCAGAAACAGAAGATTATTATGCAATAGTTTTTTCCATTTTTAATGAACTAATTCTCAAATTTATTATTTGTTCTATAGTTCAAAGCAAATTAACATAGTACCTGAAAGGGAGGTTCCAAAGCCTACTATAGTTATTTGTGATACTCCAAGTCCAGCAGTTAGTGTTATTACTATAAGTTCCGATTCAGAAGATGAAACTGAAGCAGTAGTTGTGTAAGTAAATTTTCTTTATTTGTACGTTATGAAATTTTCTTCAAACTTTTTTTTGTAAACATTGATGTTTTATTTTTTTATTTTTAGAAATAAACACAAACTTCCTGTTGATAAGAAACCTATTAAAAGTCATCTAGGACAAAGTGTTAACACAATTGTTGCTACTACATGTGACAGTGTTATACCTCTAACACCGGACAATCAAGGTTAGTAAATTTCCAGTTTTTCTACTAATAAAAATGGTTCTACAGTCTTAATTCCCCAATAACACTTTCTTGTAAAGTAGAGAAATGACACTGCAAACGAAAAAGTTTGATATACTAATATTACGATTTTTGAACTAGTAGAGAATAACGTTATGAGATTAGAGTCTCTGAAAAGAAATATTGTACTAATTTACTTTCAATATTAGAATAAAAGAATTTGTTAAGGCCCATTAAGTAGTATTGAAATTAACAAATCTTTCCAGACTTGCCAATTAGGACTTTTTTTCGAGTTCTCAATATATTGCAGCAGAACAAATGTGTTACACATTGTTTGGAATTTTTTCCACCTAATCACTCTTATCCTTTTCAAATGACAGTGTCCTGTGAGCAAAATGTAAAAAAAAAAAATTTTTTTTTAGTTAAAAATATCAGAAGTATCATTTGATTTAATGACCTCAATTATTTCGGCTTTTTAGCAGTTATTTGCATTTTGAAATCTACAAAGCTAGCTTCAGCTCAAATTCGTTTGTCAATGATAGCATAACGTTCTTTTAATAACCCATTAACTTGCTTGAAAGTTTTCACTACCAAGAGCTTGTTGAAACTTGACAGCTTTTTCTCGAATAAATGGCTCAAAAACTGAATTATTCATAAGGTAAGGAAAATGTCCACAATCTGGTGCATTTTTATTACTGCATCATGAAACCATGTGAAAACAGTTGTATAATATTTTTCAAAGATGGTCTGTTTGCACAGTTACATGATGTTTGAACATTAACATCAAGATTTCCTATTAAATATTTTATGTTATGGAGCATGCTAGTAATAATTTGACTTAGGCAACATGTAATGAAAAATAATTCTTATTTAATAGCATTATCTTATTTAATAGCATTCACATCTTGAAGATTGAAAAATCTTATTTTTTTTCAATTGGATGTTATATCTACAGATCCTTTTTTTTTAAAAATTGAAACTGTTAATTTTTAAGTTTAGAAAATTAAAAATTTCTTAAACATAGATCACTTTTTGAATTGATATTCACTTTGAATGGGGTGGATAGTGTTTTGCTGAAAATATTTATTTTGCTTTTAAGGCATTGCGTCTATTTAAATTATTTAGGGGGCTCAAAAAATCCTCTTTACCTCTACCTCTAGAGTTTCTCAATTTCTGTTATGAGTTTTCAATTCCCATTACAATTTTTCCAATCCAAACAGATATGTTTAGGTTTTTTGAAATATTCATGGCTGATCTATATGAAGATTGATTTAGAGAAAAGTAGCTCTGTTGTTATAAAGGCTTATTTAATAATAAAAAGCTGTCATGTTTTAAAGGGTCATTTTGTTGCATGGAAAGGCAATAAAAAAATTTTATGAGTTGAACTTCATGGTATCATTTTTTCTATGCAACTTTTAATCCTTTGTATTGGCAGTCAGTTTACAATTCTTTAGTTTTATTTTTCGTTTCGGAAAGAAATTTATTTTTATTTTGTTACAGGTTACTGCAACATCAAATATTTTACTGAACCAGCAGATTATAACAAAAGTCACCCCAAAGTTTTCACTGTTGACTCAGATTCAGATGACCAAAACAGCCCCAACAAGTATTCTCAAGTGGTCATGTCCTCAAGACCTATAAAACCAGAACCACAAAAAGATTTATACAGGTAATTTATATTCAAATAACATGTTTTTTGAGAAAAACTAAATTTATGGAACATTGTTAGTGCGAAATGGACTAATTTTTATAAATTGTTGTTCCAATAAAATCTGAACCACAAAAAGATGTATACAGGTAATTTATATTCAAATAACATGTTTTTTGAGAAAAACTAAATTTATAAAATATTGTTAGTGCGAAATGGGTTAATTTTTATAAATTGCTGTTCCAATAAAACCAGAACCACAAAAAGATGTATACAGGTAATTTATATTCAAATAACATGTTTTTTGAGGAAAACTAAATTTATGAAACATTGTTAGTGCAAAATGGGCTAATTTTTATAAATTGCTGTTATAATCTTTCTGTTATAATCTTTCACACTGACAATCTTTTATTATTAATTTGTATAGTTCGAGAGGAAACACGAGTCACAGGAGGAAACTATTGTCTCAAGTTCCAAATCTTTATAGCTCTCAATGTCAGTTGAGTAATGGGCAGATAGTTCATACCAAGCAGGAGATAATCACTGAAGACGATCTCACATCTGCACATGCTCATGCCTCGTTATCTGGTGTTCAGACCCAAGCAACTCCTGTTGCTCTTACAAATGTTTCTATGGGAGCGCCAAGTTGTTACGGAAGTCATTCAAAGTCTCAAGACCGTCGTCTGAAGAGCCCCGTGTTTGGTACTGATAGAGTAAGTCTTATTGCTCAAAATTAATGAAGACTTTAACTTTTAAGAAGCCTCAAGGTTGAAGTGTATAGAAAGTTTTTAAACTGTGGGGGAAAAACTCTTAAATGGTTCATTTGCAGTTCCCTAACTTTCCAACTAAAATTATTTATTTTTTTTAAACTAATTTCAATACATTTTTTAAAAATATTTTAATGTTAAAATTCAAAAAGATAAAAGCACTTGATTCAAGAGGGTGCCAAAATATTTAAATGTTTCGGCATTTTTACTTTCATTAAAAAAAAAATTTCCAACAGCTCAAGGATTTATATAAAAATTAAATATGTTAGTATTTAATTTTACTGAATAAATTTTATAAAATTAAAATTTCTACTAAGTTGAAAGCTTGTTTTAATAATATTATCGTTTGTTTAAGAAGACAAAGTGTGCAAAAGTTTGAATGTTTTTTAATTAAAAAATTCCATGCATATACTTTACCTTTTAATTTTTGAGAGAAATTGATATTGCTCTGATTACACTTAAGAATAATTAAGTTAAATAATATTTGATATAAAAACTAAACTCATTGTAGCCCCCCAAAAGCCTAATTTTTTTTTTGCCGCCTTTCGTCATAAAAGGTTGTGCACCTCTTACCCAGCGTGAGAATCGACAATGAAAAAGTCGTTAAAACATTAAAAAAGGAAGGGTTGCATAGTTTTATAGCCACATTAAATTTAATTTTTAAAAAAATTTACAAAAATATCAGTTCCAAACGATTGCAAATTATTATTTTATAAATTTAGTAAAAATATTTTTGAAAATTGAAATTTAAAAATTCTTTATAAACACGATAAATTAATCAGTAAAGAAGCTCTGTAAATTAATTTTTTCTTTTCATTTTTTTATTTTTAAATTTTTATTAATAAAAGAAATATCTTTTCAGAATTTAGGTATAATATTTGGACACCAACCTCGAATAAATGTGAATGACCTGCTAATTTCGACACGCTCCTCTCTTCAAGCCTCACCTGTGCCACATATCAGCCAGTCACTTTATTTGGCTTCTAGTCAAACAGACATGTATAGGTAAGTAAATTAACAAATTATTATATTTAAACTAATAAAGCTTAAGTCTGTTTTGTTTTTAAGAAAATAAATAAAAAGTAAGAAAATATTAATAATTAATAAATAATACAAAACTAACATTTATTTTTACGTTTATTCTGTATAGAGTTCGACTATTAGTCAATACAACTTTATTATTTTAAATAAATAAGTAAAAGTAGGTCTAACAATGTTTCAAAAGCGCGTATTATATTAACAAATAATTTTAAAAATGTCATATTCAAGTGAAAATTTCTTTGGTTTGTTTTTTACGTTCGTTTTTTTATTTTGAATTCATGTAAGTAAAATATTTTGTTAGAATTTTATTATTATTTTCAAACCAATAAATCTTAATTTGTTTTTACTTTTAGACAGTGGTTTTAAGTCAATCCATCTATATTATTTTAATTTGAAACATACTATTGATGTCGTTGAAGTATTTTTTTAGAATTAACATTTCCTTTTATTATAGAGTTTTTTCTGTCATTTATTTATTTATCTAAGATTTCTGAATTTTTTAAAATTTTATTATTAATCTGTACCCTTATTAGAAACTCATTTACCACTCACATTGGAACTGAGTAGGAAGAACGTCATGTTTTTTTGAAGGTCACTGAGAGACAAAAGAAGCCATTTTTTAACCCCCTTTAGATGTTCCAAAAATAAAAAAGCATTTTTGCGATTTTTTGTTATTGAAGAAGGTAGGAAAAACACATCCGGTTAATCCAGTAAATACCGTTGCACCAGATAATCAGCGTTGTACTATATTTCATATTTTTGGTCTCTTCCTAAATTCTGATCTAATTTTCAGGGATCTTTCAAGACCAGCTGTATCTTCAAATCTATCACAACCAACTTATATCTCCACTCCTTCTCAAAAATATATCCTGACCGCCACTGAACATACAGCTTCTGCCTCGTTTGCCCCTTCTCAGCTGCCGGTTCCTCCGCCTGCCCACCACCACACTAGCAGAACGGCAATTGCTGCTGCAATTCCATATACAGGATCCAGTAGTCATCCACTACCTGCCCACATGCAACCAGCAACTGTTGGAGCGTCCTCAACCATGCTACCCTCGTCTGCAGTTCCTCTGGTATCTTTCCCATCAAGCTCCACACAACCCGCCTCTGCCCTCTACACCTACAGCATGAATGACGGAAGCCCAATCAAATCCCAGTTCCACATATATTGCTGAGTTCAGTATTACTGTGACCTTATATTGGTGAATGTGTGATTCAATGCATGCTGAATTGCATTGAGAAAAGTGTGTGAAACTTAGAGTAAAATCTTTTTTATAGCTAAATCGCTTTGAATATGTCAATGGTATTTTAGAAATGTGTGGTGTAAATTTAAAGGTTACTTTTGCTGTAGCTGTCTCTTCTTGTAAGCAGATCTGCCGAGTATCTGCTAAGCATTGACAACAGCTTTTTTTTTAACGAAAAAAAAACACTTTTTGACGCAGCTTTAGATTGGTTGCAAAGGAAAAAAGCTAGTCCTACATCTCAGGAGGGACATTTTTTTTTTGTTGTTGATGATAACATTTGACCTTTGATGTTGTTGCCTTCAATGTTGTATTTCGGAGAAGGTATTTTGAAAACTGTAGGGTGTGGTTTGTACTATAATCACTTTCTCAAGTTTTATGTTTTAAAAAAATCAATATATCTGAATTATGACTGCATTATGACAGATAATCTAATGCACGATTTAATAACTGTAAAATCAAAAGTAGTTAATGAGGATTGTATAATTGCTTTGGGAACGGGAGCTTTGAAAATATTTTAAAATGTAAAATAATGGTAATAAAAATTGAAATAGGAATTATAAATTAAAAATGTTTCAAGGAATTATATTTGAAATATCAATTAAGGTACACAGAAGGAAAAAAAGTAGAATAAAAATCGTGTCTGAAATAGTTGGTTAAGTTATAAATTCTTTTAAAGGGATTATAGAATAAAAAATCTGCAATCTCTTAAATTCTCTAATATTTACAAATGTATAATCATAGCTTTTTTGCTAATACTTGGTCATTTCCTTAAAATATCTCTTATATATAAATGCAGTGATAATTCGATTAAAAAAAAACACGAAAAATAATTAACTGTTTTAATAATAACTGTTTTAAGTTTCAATATTTACTAAAATAGTTTTTGTACTTACATCTTCTTTTTCCATTCATGCATTATTTGATTTAAATGCTAAATTATTTTTGTAGCAAGGTTTTTATTATATAAATATGTAAATAAATTCTCATTAATATTTATTTGTGTAATTATTTATATATTCGACCACTGAATTGAAGAAAAATTTCTATGTTACTTCGAGAATTTCCTTAAATGTGATAGTTTCATGTGTTCAAAGAACTTTATTGTTCTATGGTTAACTGTTCAAAAATTCTTTATAGATCTCCTCTTATGCAATTTTAAAATACATTCAAGTAATGAATTAATTTCTGAAATATTTTCATACCACTGACATAGTCTACTCATCGAAATTTATGACCTTTCTTTCCATCGCAGTATTAATCTTGTGTATGAGCTGGTGCCTTATTAAATCTATAAAAAATTAACTTCTAGCATTTCACAAGCAATTCTTTTAATACTCAAAGAAAAACTTATAAGTGTTGGTAATGACAGCCTACTTTGTAACTTAGTAAGTTCAGAATCGTAAGTGTTACCCTCCAATTATGCTGTAATTTTCTAGACTAATGGATTTTAAAGTTAAGCAATCATATGTGAAAATTATTTTATGTTTTTTGAAATTATTGTAATGATATAAATTCTTCAAAACTGCAAATTTTTTTTTTTTCTGTGGTTACATGTTCATGTGGTTTTGGTTTCATGTTTAGCAGTTAAAGGGTATTTTTTTTTGTTCTTGCAGTATCAATAAGAAATACATTGATTTGAATTATTGAGCTAAGCTTTCAAATGAATCGCTGGTATAATATAAAATTGTAATTACAGTTGTCTCTTATATGCATAAACCACATTTAATCTTTTTATTTAAATAATTTTTAAAAATTAAATTTTTTAACTTAAAGTGCGGAATATTTTTATCACTCGTTGCGCAGACTACCTTTAATATAATGTAAGAAAAAACTTATAGTTTTTTAAATTTAATGTTCACCATATTTAGTGTACTCAATTGTTGTTTATTTGTTTTTAATGTTTTTACCAAATGTCTATTTCAAACTAGTTTGGTAAAAATTTAGGTAAATAGACAAAATTGTTCTCTGATTTCAAAACATTAAAATGTATCTTTGCATATCCCTTTATATGTATCAATAAAAATTGTCAGGAACACTTTTTTTTATTATGTTATGAAGATGAAATTCAATCTATCTTAGCTAAAACCATTCAATTTTACCATTTTAATCACATATTAAAATACTTTGGAACCTACAGTGTCTAAATCATGGGTGATCCGCTTTTCCGAGACCACTTAAAAATGACTAGCACCTCAAAAAAAAATCTTGTTCTTCAAAAAAGTTTTAAGTTTATGGGATAATACTTTATTTTTATGCTTTGTTGTTGCCTAAGCCAAGGAATTGGAAATTTTTTAAGATTCCTCAATCTAAATTTGTTAAGTTGGAAATAGCATGTTTTATGTTCTAGAGTACAAAAGGAGTCTTATTTTTTTTCATAAAAGAAACAGAAAATGCATACTTCAATAAAAATTTAGATAAAATTCAAATTAATAAATAAATAAAGTGTTTGATCTTCAAGTGTTACTTATTCTTTGTCGTCCAAGAAATGGTCTTAGTTGTAATCCAAAATGGACTTCATTTCTCAAAAAATGTAATTCTTGTTTAAAAGACTTTGTGATGATCCTTTGGATAAAGTTTGCAAATAATGTGATTGCTCATACACAAGTGCTTAATTCATGCATGGATTGCTGAATATATTCCTGAGATATTTGGAAATATTTTATAAGTTGATTGAAATTGAACTGCTTGTAGAATTCAATGTATGTAAGGATATTTCAAACTATGCAAAATATTTTGATAGTAATATACTCTAGTTCTTTATTATTTCAATTTTTATATGAATTGCATAAATTTGTATGCTAATTTTTACAATACTATGCAAATGAATACGAAAATAACTGTCAATAAAATAATTGTTAATGAAATGAATCAGCTATATATCATATGGAAAATATGTATTTATTTTTGACTGCAGCAATGAAAATGGTTAAGATGGGAAATATATTGTTTCAAATACCATCATTATTATTAGAATTACTTTCTTTAATTATAGAAAAAGATATCTGGGGCTTAATAGTAAAGACATAAGAAACTGGCAAATACAGTAAAATACTAATTATATGTTTTCATCTTATCAAAAATTTAAAGATGAGAACTGGAAACTTTTAAGAAAAGTTACCTTTTTAAGGTATTTTTAACTTAGAAACGAAATGTATCTGTTGCGATATTATCATTTTAAAGACATTAATTGCTTTCTTTGTTTAATTTAGTAGTTATTACATTTTAATTTTTCTATATTGTAAATTGCAATTAGAAATCATTAATACACAGATCTTGTAAATATTGTTTTTTTTTTCTGAAATTAATAACTTGCTTATCAGAATTCTTTTGTTATCTCAGCTTAGATAAAGCATGTAATTTTCTTTATCTGACCTCTTTCTGTAATGTGCTAACCTTGCTATTAATCAGATTTAAAAAAAAAAATTTTTTTTTTTTAATTAAAATAATTTTGTAAAAGAAATAATAATGGAGAATAATGGAAGTTGTGTGAATTATAACTAAAGTTATTTTACATTAAATTGAACAGAAATAATGATTTATATAACAGAAAACATATAAATGGTGTTTTATTGTTTATAAAAATACTTTTAAAAAAAAGATTATTAATTTTGTAGCCTTCAAGTTATTCATATATACAACTAACTAATCCTTATGTATTTTAAAAAATTCATCTAAAATATTAAAAAATATTTTTGTGCTGTAAATAATATGAAGAATTATTTACTTTCTTATTTTCGAAATTAAAGTTTGAGATTGTTTTTTTTTTATTTTTTTTATTTTATCCATCTATTCTTACATATGTAAGCTTACTCAAAAGCTTTAATAGTGTTTTTTTCTTGACAATTTTTAATGATTATATGAAGAATTTTAATGATTGTCTGACTTTTTTGTAAGAAAATAGTATATTAAGAATAACTATGCAAGTTGTATAAATTAGTTATTGATTTTATTTGTTCTAATAGTTCTCTTTCTATTGTAGAATACATATTAATGGCTTTGTATTCTTTAATCTTATTATTCTTTCTGTAATACTCTTGTTATGTATGTTTAGTTGTAGGATATTCTTTTTATTGAAACATAAAATATATTTTATTCGTCACTATTTAGTTGCATTTTTATATGTTTCAAAGAATGTAGTATTTGATTTAACTAAACTAGTCTCACAACACAACCTATTCACCTCTATACTAGATTTCTAGTTGTATGTTTAATCATGTATTTAACCATATATATGGTTTCACCTATGTATTTCAGCTTTTAGGTTATTTATATTTTAAGAGGGTCTTCAATTGTCTTTTTTGCTACATGGTTTATGCTTTTTTTGAAAAATATTTTGTGAGAGAAATAGTAATGTTAAAACATTGAAATAGCAAGAAACCTATTTTCAATTTTGATTAAAATTTTTAATAGAAAGTGTTAAAAGATTTTTTGGTTTTCTGAGGTTGAAATTTTCGATTTTATATCAATTAATATTTAATTACTCTGAATTTATTAACTATATTAATTAGTTTTAATTGAAGGGTGAATGTGTATAATATATTAGATTTTTATTATCCAAATAAAATAATTTTAAAAGGAATGATTCTAAAAAAAGAAAGAAAAGCAAATCAAGAACTTTGACTGATTCTTTAAATACAACCATTATGCTTTTGGTAGCAGGTTATTAATTGAAGACCCTATATTTTTTTAAAAAAAAAAACTTCATCTTAATATTTTTTTATTTCATTGCTCTTGTATAGAATTTCATCTTTTGTCCTGTAGTATTTCATGCCTTATTTATATTCGTATATTTATTGATGAATTCATATATAAATTATTGATGTTAAATGAAATTAAATATATTTGCTTTATTTAGTTCCTGTAAACTACGATTCTTTTATGTATATCCTCAATTTATGAAATTATATCGAGGTTTCAATACAATTTAATCATGGCTTGATTGGTGGAGTGTTGTGAAGTTGTATGAATATCCGGTATTTTATTTTTTTTTAAATTAAAATAACTCTTCAGCTTTTTATTATTAATACTATGTTACAGTTTATATGAAATGAAATCATTCCATTTATATGTAACTAACTATATTTAACTTAATTTGCTGTAATTTTTCTGTGCCAAAATATACTTTTAGTATTGACTAAAGGGGGAAAAACATGTTTAAAAGAGTGTTTTATTTTTATTTTTTGGCAAGCTTTATGAAAACCCTTTTTAATTTAGTATCTCATAAACAAACATGTATGTAATTTCTTCTCCCATTTATAATTTATTGTATCGGAATAAAAATCCCCCTTATTCTAGGTTTAAATGGTTTATCACTCTTCAGTATAGAATATTTAGTATAAAAATGTGTTTATATATTTCTTATTTTCAGAGTATTATTTTCATTTATCTTGACTTATATAAACATGAAAATAAAATAAAAATTTAAAAAAATGAAGAAAAAAAATTTCAAAATTTTACATCATTATATTGTGTGTTTGAAATATAGCTATTGTAATTGCAGGTGATGGCGATATTAGGTATGTGATGTATTTTCTCACACATTTTTCTCTGCCTAAATGATGAGATACATGCTTCAAATGTTGTGCACATTTTTATAGGTAATAGTGGTCTACCAGTTATAGAGGAAAATAACAAATTGAATCCAGTGTACCTAATTCTATATTGTTCTTGATTAGTGTAAATTTTGTAAAGCAAACAATGAAATAATAGGCAATTTGTTAAATAAATTCTCAAAAATTTCTTTCACTAGTTTTATTGTCTACATTTTACTTTTGTATTTACTTAAACTAAATGATTGCCAAACAGGTCGTTAAGCTATGAAATCTTGAACAAATAAATGATAATATTAATAAAGTAAGTATGTACACTATGTTCTTCCTTTAGACGTTGTAAAGAAAAGAAAATTCAAATTTTTTAAAAAGAAAACCTATTTAATGTTTCGCATAACTCCTACCAACACCTAGCTAATCTTATAGTTTTCCTATCTTTCCATGACGCATATTTTTCTGAAAAAAAGTTAATGTTAAAACACGCAATCGCCTAAAACTCTTTCCAAGAATTTAGTAATTTTTTTTATCACTATCTGTTTCATTTCTTAAGACTTGTAATTTTTTTCTGATGATTTTCTATGTTTTGAAAGAAATATTCATAAAAGGGCGAGTTTAGTATTGTGTGTAGAAATAGGAACCAAAGAACTATGCAAACGGTAAAAGTTTTTAAACTGGATTTACTATGCATATATGTATTTATATATGTGTGAATATATGTATACGAGATCTTTTAATCTTATTGTGTAAAAAAAGTCATTACATAGATGGGGCATGTCCTGAAGAAGGGCTGGAGATTGGTTACAGTGTCATGTATTACTTGTTTCTAACAACTAGTGTTAGGAAAAGCAACACTATTTTGCTTGTCAAACATTTGTTGCTAAGATTTTTACTGACAAAAACGTGTGATGGAAAAGGAAAATTTAACTATCTTAATTTGTCTGTTACACAGTACCTGATTTACTTATGATTACCAGGAAGGAATTGGATATTTTATATTTATTTATGACCCTTAGTAGAAGTAAAATAACATGTGGTCTGGAATTAACAAGAGACAAATATTTAGAATTATGACGCAATGTAAAAAAAAACGCATATTATATTTTCTATACATTTATAGGGGAGGATGGGGCAGCTAAGGTTTGTAAGCCTGTTGGAACTAAACTATTTGACCTAGGAAGCATCTGATTTAACCAAAATATTCATTGTTCAGTTGTATTAAATATAACATTCTTGAAATGTTATATGTACTACTTTTTTTATAAATTTTTTTTCTTCTAGAAAAAGTCTATACCCGGGCACTAAGTTAACTCTATTGCATATTTAGGAATATGAGAGTTTCAATGAAAAAGTAGCAGACATTTCTGTTTTATATGAAAATTTAAGTAAATAATGCATGTAATTGCATTATTTACTTAAGATTGTATAAGATGTAATTGCATTATTTACTTTACATATGATGTAGTCAAGGCTGTACTCGGGGGGGGGGGGNTACGGGGGGGGGGGGGAAGAGACAATTGTCTGGGGGATTGGGACTACTTAGGGCTCGACCATAATTCTTTACAAAAAATATAGTGCTAGTGTTTGTTTGTTTTCAAAAAAAGAAAATGGCAGAGAATTTTTTTATATCTATATAAAAACTACTATTTTGTATAAAGGGTCTTAAAATATTCTACAGAATATATGAAAATAAGGCTTTTTGTTCTAGGAGGATGGGTCCGTAAAATCTTTCAACTTTGAATGTGGTTATCTTCCTCTGCTACACTACAGCTTTCGTGGAGCCAACACATCAAAAGAGGGTTGAGCGCTGGAGTGGGTAGTACTGTTTTACCCCACGGACAGAGGTTATTGAAACAGAACAATACTACTTATTGGGCTGAATCCTTATTTGTTAGAGTACGAATCTTTCGTAAATTCTGGACTAGAAATAATTTTTATAACTGTAATGACCAATTTATAAGGATAGTTTAAAAACAAGAGAACATTAGAGAGTTGACACAGTAAAAATCTTATCTACAAAGTAATCAACAACACGCCAATATGGTAAGTCTTTGACTATTAAAGAGTTAGTTCTCTAGAAAACAGAGCCTAGCATCACCAAAATCAGGGTACCTGGTTTTACCCCACTATCCATTTTCACTCCACTCGCATATATATTTAAATATTATATAACTTTTACAGTTTTTTTTAAAACATTTCAATTTATATGGTCCTGAGAGAAAAGGTAGGGTAGAAATTTTAAAAAATGCTATGAAAATGCAATCAGTTATATTTTAAAAAACTTTTTAGAGGTATATAAAAAGAGATTATAGTTTTTTGACAAGCAAGAATTTTTTTTCCCTCCTTTTTCAGATGTTAGCTGCTTTAATTAATTTATTTATTTTCTTGTTTCTGGTTATGGTTCTTGTTAATGGTTATAACGGAAGAAAATATTTCTTTTTCAGTTGAAAGGATATAATAATTTTTCTAAAATCTCCAACCATTACTTTACATTTTTTCACAAAATTTCTTGAAATTTTATAGGTGTTTTATTGACACACAACTCAACTTTAAATTTGAAAACTTTTTTATTTGAAAAAACTAAGAGTGATGAAACAATTTAATTCAGAAATGAACAGCATTCCTGTTAACAATAACTTCTTATTCAGTGTTGTTAAAGTAATTGATTTAATCTGCATAATTCCATTGACATTAAAATTGCGTGTTACAACAAATATTCCTCGGCATTTGCAACATGTTTTTCATAACTGAAAAGAAAATTATTTTCTACTAATTTATAATTATCTTTGATTTTTGAAAACGGGATACTCAATAAAGCAGGTTATATTCAATAAAAGTCTATATTGTAAAGGAAAATAAGTTTAAATGCAACCAAAAGATAAAAAAAACAAGTAATTGGTTCATAATGAAAAATATATGAATAAAAACTGCCATACATTGAATCACATAGTTAGTATATTTTTATACCACCAATACTTTTAAAATGCAAAATAGTTATAAGAATAGTTTAAAATATATCACATACACAACTTTAAAAACTGATTTTTTATACAAATGAATAGTATTTGAAATACATTAACTTGAATAATATATTCTAGTTACATAAAATCAGACTTTTTTATCATTTGATTCTACACTAACATTCCGAACAACAACAGGTTGAAGAGGAGGAGGGAGCTGCCAATTTTGTTCCATAAAACTAGAGTTAGGAGACATAGGGTCTACGGTGGACATGTGGATATCCACATTATCATCAGCTTCGGCTGTATCACAGCTCTCAAAAGGTCCAAATTCAACAACAGAGTCTTCGGGTTTGTTTTCTGGAAAAACGTCTGTAGGATACTCAACATCCTGTATATTAACAAACTGTGGAACATTCGAGATTAAGCTGTGGGAAGATAACGAGGATGTTTCGATTGTAGCTGAAGGTAGTACAACTTGTAAAGGTTGTATAAAAGTGGATAAATCAACAGCTGGAGAAAAAGCTAATTTGGTATCGTTATTTAGTGAAGAGTCTGGAGTTTTGTCAGTTTCTTTGGGTTCGGATGTATCTACGAGAGATGTTGCCTCTTCTGGCATTGAAGAATGAAACAACTCACTTTGGGAATCAATGTCGACGAGAACTGCTTCTAGAGGAGCTCGCACGACGCGACTTCGAAGAACTTCAGGTATGAGGCTCATGTCTACGTTTGAAGGAACTGTATAGGGTGTAGGGTTGATTATCAACGGTGGTGTAGATTTACATTTTCGAATTGTTTCCTGCATGAAACGTAATTAAATAGTTAGTGCTTGTAACTGATAGATGTATCATACAAGTATTTAAATTTTTTACTGACAAATGCACAGTATATAGTAGTTTACCACTAGATAGGGGCGAGTAAAAGTCACCTAAGAACGTTTGGCAATTTTAGATTCCCCCTATCCCCACGTCAGCAAAAATTAAAAATTCCATCCATGTTTACGTAAGGAGGTCCTAACTATCCCCCATGTTTAAGTAAGGAAGTTCTTACTATTCCAGTTTTGCTAATGTTAGTAACGTTTCCCCTATGCTAACGTTAGAAGGTTGTAACACTCCTGTTTATGTAAGAAAATCACAGCCTCCTTGTTTTCTGCCTTAACTATGAATTTTACTATAGTAATCTAGTTTTAGAAATAAATTCAAATAAAAAATGCAGAATATTTTAGTTCATTTTTGGAAGTTTTAATTAACTTTTCCAAGTAATAAAGAAACTTTTTTCAAATTTAACTTCCATTTGAAAACTGAAATTCTTCCAAATTTTTAGCTACAAAAAAATTTAAAATAAATGGATTTTAGAGTCGTGCATAAGCATTGATCATACTCTTCATTTCCCCATGTCAGCAAAAATAAGCAAATCACAACACCTCCTTAAATATATAAAATAGCACCATATTGATAACCGAAACTAACTATTGCTGTTAAGCAAATCGAACAGTGAACTATCACAATATTAGATAAAATAAAGAACACTAATTGATTTGGCATACCAAAGGATGTGTGTTTTCACAAATTATAATAACACAAAAATTTGATAAATAAATTTTTAATAGGTTAACACATCTCATACATATCTAAAATTGTACAACTTTAGAATACATATTCTACTATGTATCAAAACATATAGTTTAACATCAGTTATAAATATTTTACAACAGGAACTTTAAATAAATATATATGTGATAAACGGAACTGTTCACAATGAGTTTTAGTCAATAGTTTTTAAACAGAAAAGAAAAGAGTTTCACAAAGAAGCCAAATTTTCCTAGTGCCATTAGAATCTAGAGCATCGCTCTTATTTCCTTTATCATGGTTAAATATTTAACCTGAAATAAATTACAGTTTTTTTTTAAAAAAAAGCTATAAGATAATCTGATAATAAATAGGGAAAAACAAAATGAAAGTGTTAGGGGAACTATTATTGAAATTAAATATATATTTGATCCTTGATTATGTAATATTTTCATTAAAAAAAATCAAATACAATATTTTACTGCAATGTATTTGGAACTTCTAAATTACAGGCATAAAGATTTTGTATAATATTAAACTTAATGAGTTTTAACTGAATAGTGTAACTTATTGTCAGATTAAAATTCATTTTCGTCTATATTTCTATAGACAATACATCAAGAAAGTAATTAGTTGGATTTACCCAACTGATTGCTAAACATGTAATCCAAACAATCAATCTTATTAGCATTTTAAAAGGCCCTTTCTCTCCCAAACTCGACTGTCGAAGGGGTGGAAACAAGGTGAGAAAATTCTAAAAATGCTTTTAATCCTCTTTATTTTTTTTCACAAATAAACTGATGATGGATACAATATTTTATTGAGTTTGAAAGTATCTTTTGATACATGTAAAATACAAGGCCACCATCGGCCGGGATAGCCTGGTTGGCAGGGCGCTGGATTATCGTTTGTGAGAACGGGAGTCCGAATCCAGTGGTCGAACACTCTCTATGTATAAAATAGTGAATGGTGCACGTTAAATTTGTCGGGTCACAAAGCCCTCCATGTTCCCAGAGGTATTGATTTCAATACCTCTGGGGGTACTGAATTGGAGATTGATTATTCTCTGGTTCAGGTCAAAATTATGATCTGTGGATGAAGGAATGGGTCCGCCCTATTAACGTATGGGTGTGACAGAAGTTGAATTCTTGGCCATAGATGGCACCACTGGAAAACAAAAACTATCGCACCCCCTCTGCCTTAATAGCCGACAGCAACAACTAGGCCATCACCCTATAACAATGCGAGATATAAAGCATGACCTATTTTAGATACTCTATTGATTTTTCAGACAAAATTATGCTATTACAATCCTACAATTAACAGTTTTTGATATCTCAATTTCCAATATCTATCTAAATAGTACACAGTTAGCTGTTTTTAGAGTTTTGATAAGTTTCTTTGTTTTCATACAATTAACGTTACAATTTTTTTTTACCATCTTCCTAACCGATTTTAGTTAGTTTAAACTGTAAAAAAATTAGATTTCAAAATATTAGAAACATGTAATTTTAATTTGTTTACTCAAAACCACAAGTTGCATCATTTTATTGCTTTAAAGTTTTGAGAAAAAATTCATAGAATAAAAATTATCAAGTCGCGTTTCCTAATTTAATAAAACAACCCTTAATTTTCGACCTTTTTTTTTAAAGGTATTATGCTGTCAAATATTATATCATCAAAAGTTTAAAAAAAAAAAAAAATTAAAACTGTAAAAAAATTAAAAACATGTTGTTTTAAATTTTTTACTCAAAACCACAAATTGTGTCATTTTATTGTTTCGAGGAAACATTTATAGAATAAAAATTATCAAGTGTTATGTCTCTTAATCTTATAAAACAACCCTCATTTTTTACCACCTTTTTTGAAAGGTATTTTGCTATCTAATAATTTTATATCATCAAAAGTTAAGTACAAAAAAATATAAAGAAAACACAAAATTAAACATTAATCTAATATCCAAGATGGTGAGGGTAAAGGCTTCTCAAGAGAAATAACAAGGTAATACCTTTGCTTTAATCAACTTTGTAGTTTGATTTCAATCACAATACATCTTTGAACCGGACCTTCAAAACCAGAATCCATAACCGTAATTTCATTTGTCTAAATTAAAAATCTGTTCTATTTATTTGTAGTTAGTATAAATTTTAATTTCCTTAACTTGATTAATATCATGAGAAAATAAAGGCTGATTCATAATTTTCGTCAGGATTTCAAAAGACTGAAGTAGAAAATAATAATAAAATATATATATATAGCAAAAAAAAAACTTAGTATAATATAAAGCAACATTTTAGCATTTTCTCATATAAATTTAATAGTGTTTAATAGATGAATATTTGGGTCATATAACACACAATGAGTTTTTTTTTACCTTGTAGATAGTATCTAAATGATTGGAAACAATGAGTGAGATAAAATTGTTCGATATCATTGATCTTGTCATGTTGGAAAGAACTTGATTATCAAATTGATAAAATAATGCTTAAACTGCAAATTTAGAAGAAAAGAAAAGTATTTCTATATTTTGAACAAATCACATCTGCTGTTTTTTAGTTATCAATATTAATTTTTTTTACTGATGCTTTAAGAAACTCCAGAGGGAATTATGAAAAAATAAATCTAATCGATAAAATTGTTCGAGATCATTGATCTTCCCATGTTGGAAAGAACTTGATTATCAAATTGATAATATAATGCTTAAACTGCAAATTTAGAAGAAAATAAAAGTATTTCTATAATTTGAACAAATCATAACTGCTGTTTTTTTCATTATCATTATTAATTTTTTTATTGATGCTTCAAAAAACTCCAGATGGAATTATAAAAAAATAAGTCTAATCAGAAAGGTCCTAAGATTGGATTTTAAATATAGAAATACAATTTCTTAGAAGATTTCCAAATGTGCTATTAATTTAATTTCAAACAAGCACACTAGAATAAAAAATTAACCATATAATTTTAAATGTTTCACGTTAGTAAATAAATTTTTCATTTTAAAGTTTAAATTGAACACTTAATTCACATCAGTTCTTAATGCTTTGTTTGTTAGGTGAATTTACGTTACTGAGAATTGATTTATACATAAAACCAATCGTTTCCATGGTCAAAATGAAATTGTTAAGATGCTAAAACAAGAACATGGGTTCATTTTGCATTTAAAAAAAATTGCTTTAATAATATAGATTATAATTATGAAAATAAGATAAAAATCTCACCTCAAAGTTATTAAGATCATTTTTCAAAACAAGCAGATCTTCCATAACTTGATTAGTTTTATCTTGTATTGCACTAAGAGAGTTGAAGTTTTGGGTCATGAGACGAAGCCCTTCTGATGCAGTGACATCAGGTTCAAAGTTAGTTAAAGGCATTTCACCTGACATATAACGATTAAACTCGTCTTCACTAATATTCAATGATTCTGCAGTAAGTTGGTCAATAAATTCCACAGCACAACACTGAAATTAAAGGGAAGATATAAGTTCAGCTATAAATAATTATTTCTCCGTGCAGAAATAAGTTACAGTATCAATAATTCATTCAAAATTCTCACAAAAATTTATTATCTATTGCTTGAGCTATTCTGAATTGCTTTTTCTCTGACACTAAAACACATAATGATACATAGCTATACAGGGTATTCTACAAGTGTCTTTAATGCAAAATTTTAGAATCTTTGTAAAAATGATGTAAAAACATTATGCACTGTTAAAAAATTTTTAATTAAAATTATGATTTCAAAAAAATAAAGAACTTAGCGTAAAGAATCTAAGTTATATAGTAGTTTGCTATTCCTTTTTAGAAATAAAAATGGACAATAAAAAACAAATAAATATTATGCAGATTGTGTGAAATAGTCAAGCAAAAACATGTTTTAACCTCAATATAAAAAAAGGCAACAATTTTTTAAAGCAAAGCCTGCTGTGTGATATTTACTGCCATTCAATTTTAAATTCGAAAGATAAAAAAAAAATTGTCAATAAAAAACTGTTTCCACAATTTGAAAGTAATTTAAAACATCCTATTAATAGCAAGCTTTGGTCAACAAAAATTTTAAAAATCACATGAAACTTTATTAAATAAATGATTGCAACAAAAGTCCAAGCAAAACAAAATTGTAATCTGTACATATAGAGTAAGAAATGGTTAAAAAATTATAGTCATTTAAGTTAAATTGGAAAACTTACAAGGTTTGTAAAGAAGTAACAAACAGTAAAACAAAATTGTAATCTGTATACAGTAAAACCTGTCTATAACGATACTGTAGGGACCTAAATAAAATATTGTTATAGGCAGGTTATCGTTATAGACAGGTTTGAAATTTAAAAGTATACGTTTAAAACTAATGATAAATTAAACTTCTTTTATAGGCTCCAAATGAAAATTTTACTTAGAATTATGAAACAGCACACAAGAAAAATTTACTTACAATTTTATGAATCAAAACAGAAATTATTTAGAAAAATAATCGGTTAGTTTTGTTTGCTTATTTTTGGAAGCAATTGCCATTTCCATGCACATAGATTTCAGTCCATCTAATGAATTCAAATGAACATCAGTTACATTTGGTAATGTTGCAACAAAATCTTGCAAAGTGTTAATTAGCAATATGGCATTCTCGGGTGAAATTTGAGTCCTGTTTTGAGAACAGTCAGCTGCTTCTTCCTCATCACTTTGATCACCCGGGATAACTTCTGCTAAAATCTCTTCATCACTTGCACCACTGAAAACCAACACATCATTATCTAAATTTAAAAATTCATCTGCGTTAAATAGAAATGATGTATTAGATGATCTTTGGAAATCACTGACAATCGAATTTAAGCCTGCCACACATTTTTCTTCTTCATCAGTGATTTCAGTAAGCTCAGTTTCTGCGTTTCCGTTGCTTTTATCCTCAAAGAAAGAAGCTTTCTTCCAACAATTTTGGATGGTGGATTGTGTCAATGAATTCCACCCTCCGGAAA